GGCTTAAACTATTGTCGGGTGACAGACAGACAGACCAAAATTTTTAGGTTGAAGTATCCCAAGAAAGACTATATCATCGGCCGCATGCAGCCTGCAGGCCGCGTGTTTTAGACCACTGTCCTACGCAATGAATTGAGTTTCGACAGTTAATGAAAAAAATAAAATCTCACAGTATCTTTTATGCGCTCAGCCATAGAAGGCGAAAGCCACTTTACTTCTCAGTCGATGTAGTGCTTCTGCCTCACCACCATCCGATAACTTTTCGCACCTAACGTGGTTTTCCACTGGCTCCCGGGATCGGAGGTACCTCTCCTGGCCTTGCACTGCCTCCGTGATGAGTGCACCATTGAACGAGCTACAGTTTCTAGGAGAAAACAGCGCTAAAGAAACGGGACGAAGAAGGGACACAAACCACGGCGCTAACAACCAAAGGTGTTTTATTCTTTCAGTCCCCATTTATATACACAACAACAAAATCACAAGGAAACAAAAAAGAAAGTACAAAAAAGAAATAAAATGATGATTAGCCGGGTGGCGCGGGGTCTCCCTTGCGTCTTCTCTGGACCATGAAGTTTTAATAATAATAATAATAATAATAATAATAATAATAATAATAATAATAAGCGTGGACAGAGGCATTAAAAATGCTATACGGGAAAATAAAGTTAAATAAGGTTGAGAGCTGGGTTATAGTTGGCGAAAATAGCGCGTTCCTGTCAAAGGTGCGCTACTTTACCATATGCGGTGTATAATGATCAATTGTACAGAAATGTTAACTTCTTCGGAAGGAAGAAAATCTAAGTTGAGCTTACACATGAATCGCGGCCGTTGCAGAGATATGGTAAGGTTCAGAAATGAGACTATAGCGCGGTTGTCATGGTGCTTCGAGAGGAAAGTCGAATCTTTAAAAGATGGCATGGTTCGGGAGTGTCAAAAGATGCCTCCGTCGGCATTATTGTCCGTGTGGGAAAAGTGAGATAGACGGAAAGAATTGAGGTCGCGGTTACAGCTCGAATCGGGTAATCCGCGTGGCATTCCAGTGTGCTATAGTGCTGAGTGAGCCACGCCTGATGCATCTGTAAAGTGAGCGTCCGAAAGACCTCGTGAAGTTATATATATGGAGACAACGTCAATCGTGTTCGCTACAGTATTGGTTACCCACTTTCATAATGTGATAAACATGTGTGTGCTCTTATGACTCCGCAAGCCATAATCAACCGCGGCTCGTTCATGTAAGGAATACGTCGACAATCGCTACTTATGATACGCACACCACCGCACTCTCTATGCACTAGGTTTCAATAAAACGGACACTAAAGCCTACTTTATATACTAAAGCCTACCATATGCGCACAACTAACTCAGGTGCATCAAGACATCGATTCACCTCGCAAGGCTTGGCTCAAAGCATTGGAAATTAGTCATATGCCGTGACTCGACTGCTTCTCCGCGTGAAATCGTCTCTCAGAATCTGTTGCATCTGTCTCACTTCTTTTTTTCTTCCCGCCGGAGATAAAATGACAAAAAAAAAACATAAAAAGAAAACCAAAGAGAAACGAAGATGGCCGCCACCTTCGGACTTCTTTCAGGCTTGGCGTCATCTGTACGAAGCTACATTTAAGTGTTTTTTTTTTAATTTGCAAGTCTGGGCCTTTACATTTATATGGAAATTGCTACAATACAGCTATAAAAGATGAAAATAACGTTTCCTATACCTTCCTCGGCTTCATTGCCTGTTGGTTTTTAGTAAAACCATGGTCGTATAATGGTTATTAAACAAACTGCAAGCATTAATTTTATTCGTTTCGTTTCCTTGTCAGACACAATCAAGTGAAGCCAAGAGACAAAGCGCATGCGCATTGCGTATTAATTGAAAAATAACGACACTCTGTTCCAAGCTTGCCAACCGCGATTGCAGCTCTCTCCCGGACGCGCCCCGTCTGAAGGAACGCACATAATATAAAATAGAAAAAATGATAACGTCACATTTATTTTCGTCTGCTTAGGGCTATCGTTCGTGAGGCAAGTGCGTCCCCGACGTAAAACAGCGCTCCAATTTTGGCGTCGATGACGTGCCAGCTCTTAAATCGGAAGTATGGCAAGGTATAAATGCGATGCTCAGCCGTGCACAGAAATCATGCGATTAAGCTTTATATAATAATACTTTTATAGCCTTGCACTGTACATTGGCCGACAATGCGCATTAATAAATTTGATCGCATACTTATGTTTTTTTATGTTTAGCAGATGGACACAAACTCCTGCGCATATCTGTGACATTCTTCGCATAATACAGAATATTTTCGATGTGTTCGTGACAAGGTTTATTTCTTGACATGCTCTATGTCGTAAAACCGCGATATTCTGTAATATGCGAAGAAATTGAAACAACGAACAATATAGTTGCATTCTGATTCCTTCAAACAAACAAACAAACAAACAAACAAACAAAAGACTGACAGCTTGTCCCGGGAAAAATATTCGCAATTTGTGGCATACGCTTGCGAATGATTATGTAGGCATTATATCTCTAGCTTTAACAGAATATACGTGCAAGCGTTTGTGTTGTATGTGTGCCACGTCTTGAAGTTGGTGTATACACAGGCCGTGCTAAGCACCGAAGAAAAAAAAAATGCGTCGTACCAAAGAAATCTGAAAGTCCACGCTTGCTATTAGGGTTTTCACGTGTATTTTCATACCTGGCTATAGCTACAGCTATTGGTTAATGGCACCAGCTTATGAATTTCAGTTTGCAGCTTATACAGAACAGGCGCTGATTTTCTATAACTGTACGATTGAGATAGAGAGGAAAGTAATAATAATAATAATAATAATAATAATAATAATAATAATAATAATAATAATAATAATAATAATAATAATAATAATAATAATAATAATAATAATAATAATAATAATAATAATAATGGGGTTTAACGTCCCAAAACCACCATATTATTATAAGAGACGCTGTTGGGAAGGGCTCGGGAAATGTCGACCACCTGGTGTTCTTTAACGTGCACCTAAATATAAGCACACTGTGACACGGGCCTCATGAACTTGCACCTCCGTCGAAAATACGGTGGCCAAGGCCGTGATTCGGTCCCGCGACCTGCCGGTCAAGAGAGAGGAAAAACAAAGAAAAGACGGAGAGGTTAACCAGGTCTTACCTGGCTTGGTAACCCTACGTTGGGGGAAGGGAAGTGGCCAAAATAGTATAGAGTAGGAAGATGGAAAGCGAGAACAGGTGGTGTGCAGGCGCATTTCATTGCATGACTGCATCCATCGCGCATGTACGCATACGCCCGCACCGTCACAAGCGTAATCGTTCTCAACTAAGGCAGCCTGGGCACCGCCATAATTCCCTCTGGACTGCTAAAGTATGTCCCCCATAATCCCCCTGCCCCTTAAAAAAAAAGAGGACTGCTATAGGGCACTGTGGAGGATGTGGTGCCAGCTTTTGTAGTGCAGTGCAAGTCCAGAAAGCAGGTGATCCCATTGCCCATTGAAAAGGTGGTTCTTCCGCCATTGTCATAGATGACAGAGAGTTGATGCAATCTTGCAAAGGCAATCCTTACTAAAGAGACTCGCTCGCTGAATTCTGCACCGATCGGTTGTGCCCTCGCGTTCTCCGACGACAGTGCAGCTCTGGCCGACGGGTTGGTCCTATGCCACCTCCCGCCGCTGGTCCCCGACGACGACGACAGCGTAGCACTGGCCGACGGGTTGGTCCTACGACACCTCCCGCCGCTGGTCCCCGACGACGACGACAGCGTAGCACTGGCCGACTGGATTAGCCCTATGCCATCTCCTGTCGCCGACAAGAGCTCTCGCCAGAGGTACCCCGTTCTCGGACTCCTGCAACCGTGTCCATCTTTCCTGTCTTCTACTTCCGTCTTTCGCTGTCCCTGCGCCTCGCTCTCTTCTTTCTCTCTCTCTCTATCTCTCTACCTTTTAACCATATCCTTTTAATCCGTCCTCTACCCCCATCCCTCGTGAGCTACTGTTGAGGTGTCCTTCCCCTTAGAGACAGTTACGGGGCTCACTTTTCTCTTCTTTTCATTTATAATCACTCCCCCCCCCCCTTACTAAAGAAATATTTATTTATTTATTTATTTATTTATCTTGTCACACCAAGTGGTCAATATTGGTGATATAGTGAAAGCGCGACATTAATCGAGCCGTCGAGAAACAACAAAGAGAGAGAGAGAGAGAGAGAGAACGGAAAATAATTGTCTCGTAACACGTGCAGGATGAGTCAAATTGCAACGCTTTACACTCCAAACTCCCAGGAGAGAGAGAGAGAGAGAGAGGAGAGAGAGAGAGAGAGAGAGAGAGAGAGAGAGAAAGGCAACCAGAACACACCAAGGTTACAACACTACTGAAAGAGCTTATCGCGGAGTATTGTGAAAACGTGCAGCTTTATTGCGATTCCACGATAAGTGTGCCGCCGCCATCCGCATCACAGCGGTCGCATTTTTTGCGCGCAAGAAATTCGCGTTTTGCAACAATTTACGAGCTTACTGATTAGAACGCGGCACCGATGAAGTAACGTTTCGTATACTACCACATTGAAACAGGCCTCTTGGAAGCGAAGTTACACGCTATTAAATTTTAAATTAAACTAATATCTTCCAATGCAACGGAATGACACACACACGCACGCACCCATTTTTTCTGCACTACTTACGGCATATTCCCGATTGCATTAGGCTGCATGAAGTGTACATCAAAAGAAAAAAAGTAGTCCTTCACAAGCTTGGTTATGTTCTTCACCTTACTTTGCGTTGATTCGCCTTTCCCTGCCGTTTTCTACCATGTACCTACCCGCCCATCTTCAACGTTGATAAGACACAGCTAGACGCGACCATCTACGTGAACTAAGTCTGGCAACCACGCCAACTTTTTGTTTCAAATTCAAAATTGTATTGTAGCAAGCGGCCCAAGCGGTTTAACGCATGCGGTCGCTGAAGCGGTACTCGTCCAGTAGTTCAATAAGGGCCGTGGGTTCGGATGCACGCGTTGTGTCCGTGATCCGTTGGATGACGGCAGCGTAGTGCACACTAGTCAAGATGCACATAAAAGAGGTATGTACACGCAATGATGCCAAATGTTAATCGTAGATAGCGCGGTCATGGCGAGAAGTATTGAATTATCTGACAGCGGCGGCAAGTTTGAAAACTGAATTTGGAGATAACGGATTTCGGTGGCCTAGCTATTCTTATCTGCAGGCGGCAACTGTAGTAATCACCGTGCGTGATTTTTTTTATTGTGAGACAATTACATTTCGTTTAGCAGATTAGATTGGTTAAGTGTGTTACTGTTGTTAAGGTGCGCTGCTTCGCAGTTACCGGCCGCTTTAGTATTTTTGTAAAGGCGCTTCAAGGGAGCGTTTCACAATTATCCTCTGTGTGAGCAGCTTCGTCTTGTCATGTTCGTGTGGGACGAAAGTAAGCGTGCGTGTATGCAGATTACCTTCCCGTGTTGAGAAGGAGAGCTGTCCGTTTGATTCAAATATAATTACGTAATGCTATCGCCTGCATTTGAAATTTGTAACGGTTTACGGATGTTGTTCAGGCTTCTAAACAACAACATTAAATTATGTATCTATTGATTGCGATGATATTTTGCTGACGCGGAATCATATATTAAATGACGACGATAATGATAATACTTAGTAACAGAATTTTAGTTTGAACTGTCCAAACCTAGCTGGTTCTAAGATCTACCATAAAAAAGAGTGCTTGATCGAGTTGGTTCTGTTTTTTGTAATTGATAAAAAGCACTTTGGGTCGCCTAAATTTTAATTAGTAATTAGGGTTGCAGGTACTTCACTAGGTACTGAAGCACGTACATGTACATCTCTTGTCCATGGTATTCTGGCATAAACGTACACACACACACACACACATACACACACACACACACACACACACACACACACACACACATATATATATATATATATATATATATATATATATATATATATATATATATATATATATATATATATATATATATATATATATACGCACACACACACACGCTTTGTCTTAGTTCCTTCTTTGTTTGGGTTCTCTTTGTATTTGTTGAAAATTTAAGTTCCGAGATTCCAAATTCGCAACGTTATTTTTTTTATTGCAGGTTATTCTTGAAGGGTTCCTGAGCTACAGGAAAAAAACGACTCTAGGCCCCCTTTCCCCAGGCATCAATATCATTGGTAGGTATACAGAAATGTCACTTTTCGCACAAAATGGCAAAATGGGTCAGTTCGTAACCAACCGAGTGGTACCAGGTCAGTTGGATTCATGAGGAACGTGCAAAATAAGCACGCATGGTTCAGTTTTGTTTCGTTTTGTTCTGCTGCCTTTTGTTTGTGTTTTTCATGTAGAACTTATTCATGCAATTTTGCATTTTTTTCTATTTTTTATTATTTATCCCCTCTAATCTTTGTTTCCTCTGTTTCTTCCATCCTCCCGAAAGAGTGAGCAGGTGATGTGCCACTCCAGGTGACAGTTGCCAGCTTGCTCTCTCCCTCTTTCCTCTGTGTCCTTGTGTATCCATGTATGCAAATCAAATAATAATAAATATTCCTGTTCATTAAATATTTACATAATTTTGTGTGTCAGCTTGTGCTCCCTATGCAGAACTTACCTTTGAATTTTACAATTTTTTCTATTTCTTGTTCCTGCTCATTAAAGCTTTTCACAAGTTGCATGATAAAAAATAATTCTCATTTTGTGTTGCAGGGGTAGAGGCAGGCCAGGAGGTGACACAACAAACACTTGAGCCCTTCCCCCCCCCCCCCCACCTCCCCCCAAATCTCTGTCCACCATGAAACACCTGGCATGAGACAGCACAGTACAGCAACTGGTTGTATAACTGAGAAAGTGCCCCACTGACATATAGCCCGGGTAGAGTTGGGGGGAGGGGGGGTCAAACATTTTCAAATTCACATGTGTGTATATAACACAAGCATACAAATGCACCCGGAAAAGTACGGTTGAAACCCCATTTGAAAACAATTTCTGGCTAAGCCCATGAGGTGCCCTCTCCCCCTTTTCCTTTCACTCCAGCTTTTTTTAAAGGATTTCTCGTTATGGTCATGCTGGAGCTGAGCGATGTTATCAACTGTTTGTTTTTTTTACCTTGGCAGTTGGCGAGAATGGTTCGGGAAAAAGCAGCCTACTCTGTGGTAAGTATATCCATGCATTTTTTACCACGCTCCTTCCCAGGGGCCTAGCTAGGCCAGTGTCAGCAATAAGTGTGGAAGGAGCTGCCCCTCTAAGATTGCAATCTGCCCCCTCCCCCGTCTGGAATATCAAACTTATACAATTAAACCTCATTACAATGTGTTGAATCTTACCCAAAAATAAGTCTGTTATATCCGAAAATTCGTTATAAAAGTGCATTTCTAGGACTATAGCTATTACAAGACGATTATTTGTTTCTTTTACTATAACCGATATTTCGTTATGCACGAGTACGTTATGTATAGGTTTTACTGTACGAAGCACAATTTCTTTGCCAGCTTTGCTGAATGAACTTGCTTGTCGTGAGGGCTCTGCCCTCCCCCCTTTCTCAAATGAAAAAAATCTTGGTGTTGCCCCAGCCAAGGGCAGTGCCATCGGGAAGTACGGGAGACAGCTGATTCCAGATGTATTTTCCACTGTCCCCCCCTTTGCCCCCCCCCCCCCCTCCTTGAGGGGACATATGTAAAACAGAATGCTTGAATTCTCGGCCTCCTTGCCACCATTATGGAACTGGCTTGTCCTAAGTGCTCCTCAGTAAAAAATCCTGGCACCAGCCCTCTCCTCCTGACGGCATTGTTGTCGCCAACATTCTCATGCATATACTTTGTTAGCCTCAAACGGATACTAATACACTTAAACCTCATTATAACAGTCACATCTGCCATGAAAATACTTCGTTATATACAAAAGTTCGTAATAAACAATGATCCATAACACTGTATCTATGACAAAGCTTTTGCCCCGCCGCGGTGGTCTAGTGGCTAAGGTACTCGGCTGCTGACCCGCAGGTCACAGGATCGAATCCCGGCTGCGGCGGCTGCATTTCTGATGGAGGCGGAAATGTTGTAGGCACGTGTGCTCAGATTTGGGTGCACGTTAAAGAACCCCAGGTGGTAAAAATTTCCGGAGTCCTCCACTACGTCGTCTCTTGTATTCATATGGTGGTTTTGGGACGTTAAACCCCACATACCAACCAACCAACTATGACAAAGCTATTCTTCACTTCGTTATGACCAATAATTTGTTATACCCAAATTCATTATATTGAGGTTTGGGTGTATTCTTTAATTACCAAATGGTTTTGCCCTGATCGCCGTTAATGCTCAGTGATGGAAGTGCTGCTCCATGCTGCTCTGAAGGGATGTTGGCAAACTGAAAAAAATGAAGTTGAACCATGGGACCATCCCGTGAGCCTAAGCAAAACCAAAAGCAAGCTGTATACACTATCATCCTAATATACGTACTAGCCAGAAAAATCCCAGAAATATCCCAGAAATATCCAGAAAAATCTCAAGGGGTGACACATATCTGGCCATGGTGTCCAATTCTTATATTTAATATGGGTTGTATTTTTATTTATATAAGAAATCAATCATGCTTTCAAATAAATGTATAAAAATGAGCATGGGGTCCGAGCTCCAGCAATTGCATTGTTCTATTCAGTCTCTCTTTATCTTTTTTCAATTTCAATAGTTCACACAACTGAGGAGCATTTAACACAGGTAACAGTAAAAGATAAAAAGACTTTTAAAAAGTTGATTGCATTATACTTAACTGATAGCTCAATTATATCACGTGCTAAAGCTAAATCTTAAGTGGGATACTTGCAAGGGGTGCCCTCCCCAGCCTGAACACCAGAAAAGTCCAAACTCTCTTGACCCCCCCTCCCCACCCTATGATTTATGCCAAGTATACTGTTGCATACTAGCATAAGCATAAGCTTTGATAATTCATATAAATAGTTATTAGATGCCAAAGTAATGTTTCAGACTTCAGGAGTCATTTGGAACATGCATCTGCTCCGAAAATGCCAAAAGCAACCCCAAGCTCTAGCATTTTTTCCTGCTCCAAAGCATTTTTTTCTGCTCCAGGATCTGCTCCAAAAAGCAAAATGTCGCTTCCATCACTGAATACACCTACTGATGTAGTGAAAAGTTGTGTGCTCAATTATTCTTCCTTTTTTTTGTGCCCTTTTGCAGCTATTGAAACCCTGATCAGCATGGAAGTTGAATCACTCAGCCGGGCACAGCGCTTGGGCCTGCTCAGTTCTGCACCTGGAGCGATGGCCAAGACTGCCACCGTCGAAGTGGTTCTCGACAACACCAGCCGTCGTCTACCTGTAAGCATCAGCTGTTGGAATGAATGGCTAAGATTTAGACAATGGCATTTATTTTTGCTGCAGATGCATTTTTGAGCTTGCCTAAATCAACTGTAATCAGGATCGGTGCAGATTAGTGACGTGTAGAAATTTTTCAACCCTTCCGTAGTCAATCAAACGCTTCAAATTTTTCAACCCTTCTGAAGCCAATCAGCTTTAATGAAGGAATAAGGTCTAAACTTGTTTTATGACAGTATGCTAATCTCTGTCACATAGACACTTTGGACTACATTTGAATCAACAGTAGTTAAATTGGAGACACGGTGAGTGATGAAAAAAGAAAATGAATGGTGCGACCTTAATCGACAGGAAGAGAGCAGAAAGGGTCAGATAACTAACAGGAGTTGAGGATATCGTAGTTAAAATCAAGAAGAAATTGACATGGGCCGGGCACGTAGCATGTAGGAAGGATAGCTGCTGGTCATTAAGGGTTACTTATCTGATTCCAAGAGGAGGCAAATGCATGAGAGGAAGACAGAAAATAAGGTGGGCAGATGAGATAACGAAGTGTGCAGGTGTAACGTGGCAGCTGAAAGCACAGGACCAGGTTAATTGGCGGAACATGGAAGAGGTCTTTTCCCTACAGTAGGCGTGGTCAGGCTGATGATAGTGAAAGCTTTCGATACTATTAACACTATTTCTTTTACTAAAATTTAATCCTTAGGTATAACTGGCCCTGCCCTTATTTTAATAGAAAAATTCACTGCATATCCACGAAGTGAATTATAATGAGTAAGGCGAAGCGTTTGTCCATCTGTCTGTCTCTCCGTCCGTCTGTCTGTCTGTACGCTGCTATCACACCAGAGCGCGCATGGGCGGACAGGCGGACGCTTCGCCCCATTCATCATCATTCGCTCCGTGTATATGCTGTGAGTTTCTTATAACACGCCATCTACGCTCTTTAATTGTCAGCTATATGAAAACCTCCAATGCTATCTACCCTATGTACCTATTCATTGATGGTAGGTTGCATACTAATACAGACTGCACTACGTTTGCATCCAATCCAAATTTTCCGTTTCCCTGATGTCACACAAACTGTGGCGAGATCAGATCATCAATTTCTTCACTTGAAATTCGGAATGACCTTCCACTATTGCTTCAGCAGCTAATTAATTTTAAATACATTTAAGCATCAATTAGAATTTTTTATTTTTTGTAGTTTCTTTATGATAGTTTTTAATATCTTCATTTTGATCCTTTTCTTGTTGTATATGTTACTTGCTTGATGTTTTTTGATGTTACAGATGTTTTACATTGCTTTTTACAGCAAAAGCTCTATAAGATCACAACAAGGGTAGAGTGCGCCGTAGTTGTCCACCGCTGCCACCATTGTCTGTAACCACTATCGCGCAAAGTAAGAAATAAACTAAGTAAATAAAAAATACCAAGGACACACTGGAACTCGAACCCGGGTCCCCTGTGTGCCAGCCCACTATTCTACCGCAGAGCCACACTGGTGCTTGCAACTCCATTGCAAACTGGTTTTGGGTAGGGTTGATGTCGAGAGCTACGGAGCAGAAACCTGAAGACTTACATAGAGGGTTCAGCTTAAATTGAGGACGACGCAACGAGCAATGGAAAGAAAAATGGTAGGTGTAACCTTAAGAGACAAGAAGAGAGCAGAGTGGATTAGGGAACAAACGGGGGTTAAGGATATCATAGTTGAAATCAAGAAGAAGAAATGGACATGGGCCGGGCATGTAGCACGTAGACAGGATAACCGCTGGTCGTTAAGGGTAACTAACTGGATTCCCAGAGAAGGCAAGCGGGTTAGGGGGAGACAGAACGTTAGGTGGGCAGATGAGATTAAGAAGTTTGCGGGTATAAATTCGCAGCACCAAGCACAGGACCGGGTTAACTGGCGGAACATGGGAGAGGCCTTTGTCCTGCAGTGGACGTAGTCAGGCTGATGATGATGATGATGTCGAGAAAGAAATGAGTTAGAATTAGTAATGAAGAGTTTCAGAACAGCAAGGCATCACAAAATGCAAATGCGGGGTCATTGAATGCTTCAACCAATTTAAGAGCCTCACGCATAATTCGTCATCATTGTCAGCCACAGCATAAAAAAAATTGCACAAAATTTTTTGCAAGGGTGTAGCGGGCACCACACCTCTCCAAGGAAGGACAAATGATGGCATATAGTGAGTGCCTTCCTACCACACCAAGATTATGAAGATTTATGTCGTAGTGGGTACGCTGCAAATGTGCTTGTAGCAGTTGCCCAACGAGTGTTTAAAATAGGGTCTGAAAGGCCATTCTTCCAGCTTTTGCTGTGACTGCAATGCGCCTTTCGCGCAAGCTTGGCGAATTTTCAACGTTTTATTGGTTTTCTTTTTTTTTTTTTCGGATTTGTCTCATAGTTTTTTCCTGTTTCTCATGTACACCTTCTCCTTTGGCGTTTGCCACTGAGGGTCCCATTTGCAGTCATTGACTTTGGGACCCTCGCCGGTGTATTTGTTTGTGGCAATCATTGTAAGTTGAATTATTCTTAAACTGAAACTGAAGCTCGTCTATATCAGTGATTGCCTCTATTTCAGCATGACAAGGATCAGGTGACCGTGACAAGAACAGTTAGTGCATCTTCCACGACATTGATGATTGGGAAATCTGCAGTTGGGTGAGACTGTTTCCTTTTTTTTGTGTAATTCTCCTAAAATGAATAGCGATTAAGTGCTGGGTCTACATGCTTTGCATTCTTTACGCAGACAGTGCTCACGATTTTTCGAATAAAGCCCACTAAATTGCGCACTACAGCAGCCACTAAAATGTGCAGTAAGCCGGCCACTTTTGTGAAGGGAAAAGGGGGTTTTACACTGCTATAGATCCCTGCACAAGCAAGATACGTGACACTGCCTTACCATGAAACCTTCACGTCCATAGCCAACATAGGCCTGCTAAGACATGTACTGATCTAGCAAAAACCTCTTTTAGTACTCTACTATTTGTATGCTTTCAAGCTTTACAGCTATCACATTTTTTCATCCTCTTAACTATTCTAAAGTGGATTTTGCCTTTGCTGGTGCTGTTAAATGTAAATTATAATAATTAGGTCTGTGCAAATATTTGAACTTTTGAATGTTTTTCGAGTGTTGTTAGCTACTTGATTCAATTCGCACTGGTGTTCTGACTATTCGAACTATTCAAACTTCCCGAAGACAAATACAGCCAACGTCCGATTGACAATAACCCCTTCACAATTTTTTTTTATGCTTCACCTCATTACAATATCGCATTGCGGCAAAGCTATTTTTTAGACTGCTATGGTAGCAAATGTATTGACTCGAGAAGACACCTATTCCAACATGGAGATGCACTGCACATCACAGTGGCCCCTTCATATTTTAGGATGCTTCACTTTATCACACTTTGGTATTGTAGCAAAGCTGTCTCTATGGCCCCTGTTAAGGTCAATAATGGATCGACTCACAAAAGCGCTGGTTTGAAACTACACGAAATAAATGGACACATTAATAAATATTGCTTCCAACTAAAAAGGCCAAAAAAAATCAGACGAAGATTTTCAGCATTCCAAATTTCAGATGTCTTTATACACTGATGTGTACAGGGCTGATTAGCAGCTTCAAATTTGAAGGGAGCACGCCCTTGTTTGCCAAATAAGTTGGGCCTCCACAGAATTTGAAGAGAGGAGAGGTGGGGCTAGCAAAAAAAAAAAAAAAAACACTTCCATCATCCTATCTCATAAGAAGGTACTTTTTTTTTCTGTAGTTCTCACTTCAAAGTGCTCAAAAAATATCAAACAAATATTCGATGACTATTAAAAAAATAGCTATTTGATCTGAACTCAAACTTTATTATTAGAATTTTCTTCGCACCCATATATTGCTATTCGCACAGCCCTAACAATAATGGTATCAAGAAGTCGGCAGATGCTGAGTGTTTTGTTTGTTTCTTAACATTTCAGGAAGAAGGAGTTTGTCGATTATCTGCACGCAGCTGGATTCTCGTCTGAGAACACATTTCACGTCATCAGGCAAGGACAGGTAGGCTTCCCGCTATTCCTTTTGGGATTTTAAGCTTGTTAAAACCTACCGATAGTTTTGTGTCTGTTGTACTAGGTTCTGATCCAACAAGGTGGTTTAACAGGTACAATGTTGTGTTGCTAAGCATAAGGCTGGAGTTTTTTTTTCCGGCATGGTGGAAGCTTTTCAGTGAAGGAAATTGGCAAAAGATACCTGTGTACTCAGATTTGGGCGCATAATAGAAAAACCTGGGGGGGGGGGGGGGGGGAGGGGTTAAAATATATGCAGTCTCCTATTACAGTGCTCCTCATTATCATGTCGTGGTTTCAACACTTCCCAAAATTTAAGGTTAGTTTTCTGATTCTAGGTCCAAGACATTCTGCGCATGTCAGCCTTGGAGCGTCTGCGAATGGTGCAGCGGTTTGCTGGCTGGGACGCACTCACTCAGATGGAACAGTTCAGTGTGGAATGCACAAATCGAGGGAACTGCGATCGAAAGCACATCATTGAGCTTGCCAAGGAGTGCCAGGTGAAGCTGCAGTTGGACGAGCGGTGCGTGGCAGAAGCCAAGGAGTACAGGGCACTGGAGCTTGACATCAGGTGGTTAATTTACTGGCGCACACTTGTTTACGTGAACAGTTTCATAGGGCTTTGCAATGTCTCTTAAAGAGTGAATGAATGAATAGGTCAATCAGCCAATCAATCAATCAATCAATTAATGAACCTTTACTCCACACTTCGATAGGAATGGCAGTTGAGACGTTTAAGTGTTGTAGCTCGTCCCTGCGGCTTGACATAACGACACGCAATTAAACATCAGATTGCACAGTTTCAATTCTCACTTCAATATAAAAAGGCAGAAGCACATTTACAATGAACCAAATTAGACAGTAAATAACAAATAAACATCTACATGCCAGCATATACAAGGCTAGTTAGACTTTTGTTAATTAGTGCTTAGGTGAGCGTACTGTGTTTACACGAGCAGCACATTTATTTGAAAGCACTGGAGTAAGAAAGTGTAAATATAGCACACTATAGTTTATGCAGTTTCAATTTCTACACCTTGCTTCTCCTCTCTTTGGAATGAGTTTTTTTTTTCTTTATGCTGAGCAGTGGCACTGGTCTCACAACAGGCAATTCCAATGGTCAGTTATTTTTCACCTGGAATCAACGGCCCATGTTCACCACAGTGTCATCAGATTTAATGGAAGGATTTCACACATCATAGGATTTCCTAAAATTAACTAGAAGGGACTCTGGCATTGCGATCATTCAGCCACAACGGGAATGATAGGTAGTATACAGATTTGCCTAATCTTCATGCTTGCAGCTTCAAACACACTAACAGTAGACTCTCAGTAAATGGAAATCTGTTAAAAGGAACTACTGCTTAAACGGAACTATTGCCTTGGCTACGCTTGGTTTCGGGCTTATATTTTGCACCCGTGTTCACCTCTGAGTAAACGGAACTCCTGTTAAATGGAACATATTTTTCCAGTCCCTTCATGTTCCGTTTACTGAGGGTCTTCTGTAATTGTGGCTTCGTTATTGCTGTGTTTTGGTTTTGTTTCGAATGAAGGAATGGATCGTTGTGAGCTTCGTAACCCAGTTGGAATCGGTGAGCCTAATAAGTTTACGGTGGTGAAGCATAACTGTTAAACCTTTGCTGAACTTCGTCTTGTGGCAAAGTGAACTCAGGCCACACAGAGCCAAATGGGGCTGAAAGAAAGAAGATCGGACAAATCTGTGTACTACCCATCATTCCCATGCAGGCTGAAGTGCAGTACATTGCAGCTCCCACAGACATTAGCACCCAAGTTCCCTCTGCTGTATTTATAGGAAACTCTATGGTGCACACGGCATACAGCATTGTCCAGTGCTTGTTCGTTTGTTGAGGTGCAGTCAGCTCCTGGTAAAACCACGAGTACACAAGCACCAGTGAGGTCTGTGTAACGCATGTAGATGTTTCCTTTTGGGCTGAAGAATATACCATCAAGCAATACCATGCACGAACAATTAATGTTTTTTTTTCTTTAACCTCGCTCTTTGACTAGCATTAACTCATGTCTCATCGTACTAGTATCCGGTGTACCCTAAGCTTGATTTTTTTTTATCATCAGGACTATAAATCAAGTCATGCTGGAAAGGGAGATCACTGTGCTGGCGGCAAAGTTGAAGAAAGTAAGGGAGTTTATCCATATCCTAGGCATGTGCGAATATTCTAATGAATATTACCGTATTTGAATTCACTTCAACGCGAATTTGATTTGCTTGAAATTTTCAAGTATTCATAATGGACGAATAGGCATATCTTAGGCCCGTATTCACAAGCCAACCTTGGCCTTACCTCAAGTTATTGTACACGATACGTGCATCATAAGGGCCCAAAAATAGTAACAGGGTAAAAGATGCCAACAAGATCGATTCATAAATACTGGCCTGCAATCTTCGTAAAGTGCAATGAAAGCTTACAAGTGATAAGGAAAACTCGAGGTAAGCATAAGGTTGGTTTGTGAATATAGGCCTTATACTCGGCGACAACTTATCTTCGTAGTGAAGTCTACGGAGGAGGAGCTTCCACACTTTTCGTGTGGCTTCGCAGGATCTACGGCAGCTTGCGGCTGGTTTCAGTTTTGCTCACTCACATCGTTCATGGGTTTAGAAAAACATTTTCATGAAATATGTCAATGAGAGAGACATTTTCATTGTTCAGTGTACATTTTAGTGTCATATTGACGCAAGGTAGGCTGGCAACTATAGTAGCCAGCCTCTGAGGAGGACACCGAAGTAGTTCTGTGTGCGCGTGCTCTGGTGTTCGCGTTGCTGGCCCTTGGGTTACGAAAGTAAATGCCCTATTTTGTACCTGCATACCTGTGTCTTTGTGACATTTTCTGGTGGAGGTGCGGGGTACGGTAGATGATACGGTTCCCTGAGAGCACCCCTGACACAAGTCCATTGAGTAGCTAAGCCGAGCTTACCTCTGTGCATGTACGTTCCAGCCGTCGTCTCCAGGGACTCGAGCTGCGACACGGTTTGCTGCCTGAACGTCAGAGGACTATGAATCAAACACCGCCTAACGTCACCACACCAGCACCAGCGCACCTGGTTATCAACCAGCCCAAGATGCCGAAGACATTTCATGGAGCTGCTTTTGAAGATGCCGACGACTGGCTCGAGCATTCCGACCGGGTCGCCGTCATCAACGATTGGACCCCTGAGCGTAAGCTACGCTATGTGTACTGCTTCCTGGAGGACTCCGCGAAAACGTGGTTTGAGAACTATGAAGCAGCGCTTATGTCATGGGATGAGTTTCACTGGCAGTTCCTCAAGGCATTTGCCCGAGAGGACAGGAAAGAGACAGTGGAGCGTGCTATAGAGGCAAGGGTTCAAGGCCCTAACGAAAGGGTGACGACTTACATAGAGGACATGGATAGGCTTTTCAGGCGTGCGGAGCCCTCTATGTCCAAATCCAAGAAAGTTCACCACCTAATGCGTGGTGTTGAAGAAGAGATTTTTGCCGGCCTGATTCGAAACCCACCTGCGACACTTGCGGAGTTCCATGAGGAAGCCACTGCCATGGAGAGGGCCCTTCAACAGCGTGCCAGGCAGTATAACCGTTGTGTACACCCAAGTGAGGTCACTTCTGTCACTCTCGGCAATGACATCAGTGCGTTGCGAGAGCTTATCAGAGCTCTCATTAAGGAAGAGCTACAAAAGATGCAGGTGACTTCTTCACCTGTAGAGCAGCTCTCCATTGCGGAGATGGTACGCACCGAGCTACGGCAAGCCGTTCACGCTCCCCACCCGTCCGAGGCGCCACAACAGAGGCACTGCGTCGAGATGAGCTACGTGGAAGCAGTGCGACGTCCTCCATCGTGCAGTTCAACCAGCGTATTTTACCGCAATGAGCGACATGCTCAGCAAATGGAGGTAGGTTTCCATCCTCGTAGCTCACCATTGATCACCGAAGCAAGACCGAGAAAGAGTGACATCTGGCGTACACCAGACCACAGGCCCCTTGGTTTCCACTGCGGGGAAGCCGAACACGTCTACCAAACATGTCCATACCGTCGTGTGGGTCTCCGTGAATTTTCGCCTAATGCCCCTCGTCCACGATCTGGCGAGTGACCACTGGAAATAGAGTTTCATCTCAAATCATTGCAGCATCGGCCATCGGTTGCAAGAGTCTCGCTCGTCGTCGCCTGCTCGCTACAGGTCATCGAGCCCAGCCTATTCACGCAGCGCTCCGAGACGTTGTTCACCCAGTCCTGCAAGTCGGGAAAACTGAGTTCAGTGACCTCCGGAGGTGAGGCCGCTGACGCTGACTCTACGGAAGATCCTCCACTACGACGGCAGCAAAAAGATGACTGTGTCTGTACGACACAGTCAAACGTGGTACGAAGAGTGGTGACATCAAACATTGCGGTAACTGTGGACGACGAAGAAGTAATGGCGCTAATTGACACTGAAGCAGACACTTCCGTTATGAGCATGGGTCTTGCCTGCAGGCTGAAGAAGGTTTCCACCTAGTGGGCTGAGTCGCAGATACGTACGGCAGGAGGCCATCTTCTCACTCCGGTTGGACGGTGCACAGTGCGAGTCAGTATTCACGGATTCACGTATCTCGGAGATTTTGTAATATTGCCGAGTTGCTCGAGGGACCTAATTCTCGGACTGGACTTTCTGCGTGATAATAGAGCCGTGATTGATTTGCAAAAGTCGCAGGTGACGTTTTCTACGGCCCAAGCTTTAGCATGCAACCCTCACGGCAGGTACGTGAGGGTTGCATGCTTTGAGAATTGCTTTGAGAATGCGTAATGCTTTGAGAATTGTTGGCGATGAAGTTACGTTACCGCCGAAGAGTAGCGTGTTGACCTTGGTAACCTGCGACGTTTTTGATGAATTCAGCGACTATGAAGGTATTGCAGAGGCAAATATCCCGCTGCTGCTCAAACGAAACATGTGCATAGCCCGATGCCTTGTTCGGTTAGAGAATAAATGCTGTCGAGTTCTGCTGACCAACTTCAGCAATGAGTTTCAACACGTCCCTAGAGGCACTACTGTCGCTTTCCTCAGTGAAGTCGCCGACTTTTTCAATATCGGCACATTGGATACAACTTCACCGCATAAAAAAGCTTGTGCTGACCTCGGAAGCCGCATTCACGTTAATCCAGACTTGCCAGATTCACGAAAAGAACGGCTGCTAAACCTTGTGAGGGAATTCTCGGACTGCTTCTCCACAGCATCGAAAGTTCAGCGTACCACCGTTACAAAACACTGCATTGTTACAGAGGAGTGGGCACGGCCTCTTTGCCAACATCCATACCGTGTGTCCCCGAAGGAAAGAGAGGTGATTAAGCGTCAAGTTCAAGAAATGTTGAATGATGACGTCATTCAACCCTAGAGAAGTCCGTGGGCGTCACCTGTTGTCTTAGTAAAAAAAAAAGACAACACGCTACGCTTCTGCGTCGACTATCGACGGCTTAACAAAGTCACAAAACGCGACGTTTACCCCCTGCCACAGATTGATGACACCTTAGACCGTCTACACCACGCCCAGTTCTTTACATCATTAGATCTCAAGTCAGGGTACTGGCAAATTGAAGTCGACGAGGGCGACCGTGAGAAAACTGCTTTCGTGATGCCTGACGGGCTCTACGAATTTAAAGTGCTGCCTTTCAGTCTCTGTTCCGCTCCCGCCACGTTTCAGCGCATGATGGACACTGTTCTAGCTGGACTAAAGTGGCAGACGTGTCTTGCATACTTGGATGATGTCGTTGTGTTTTCAAGCACGTTTGACGAGCATCTTTCAAGGCTAAAAAGTGTCCTCACTGCAATAAGGAGAGCGAACCTTACTATCAAGCCCGAAAAGTGCTACTTCGGCTATCAGGAACTTAAGTTTCTCGACCACGTGGTGAGCCCGGGGGGTGTTCGACCAGATCCGGAGAAGTTGGCTGCCGTTGCCGATTTCCCTCGTCCTGGAGACAAAAAAGCTGTTCAGTGATTCCTCAGACTCTGTGCGTACTACCGCCGTTTTGTCGAAGGATTTTCTAAAATTGCAGCACCTCTTACAAGACTGACACGGCCAGATGTGCCTTTCGTATGGACGGAAGAACAACAACAAGCCTTCCTAGAGCTACGCAATCGTTTGCAGACAGCTCCAGTGCTGGCACATTTCGACGACACTGCCGACACAGAAATCCACACAGACGCCAGCAACGTAGGAATTGGAGCCATTCTAGTTCAATGGCAGAACGGCGCAGAGCGTGTGATCGCTTACGCGAGCCGCAGTCTTACAAAAGCAGAGGCTAATTACTCTACCACAAAAAAAGAATGCCTAGCAGTCGTTTGGGCCATTAGCAAGTTTCAATCCTACCTATACGGCCGGCCATTTCGAGCGGTCAGTGACCACCATTCGCTCTGTTGGCTTGCCAATCTACGAGATCCACCAGGCCGCCTCGCCCGCTGGAGCCTCCGCCTTCAAGAGTACGACATAACGGTCGAGTATATTTTTTGTGGGGTGAACTAAACAGCCTGCTTGCGGCTGCACACTGACCCATCGACATCCTAGATGCCATGTTTACTTTATAAAACAGGTGTGCTAAAAAAGTAGTGCTGTCTAAGAAATGAAAAGAAAAGGAAAGCATTCTTGCAAAACAATAGCTAAATTTTACCTGCGACTTCCCGAAACTGTTTGAATCTCATAAAAAAAGTAAAGCAATATTTATTTCAGCAAGGCAAATGAGAAAATTATCTGTTCGTTTAAATAATATTTCTGGCGTGGCAACAGGCATGCGTTTCAGTTCTGTAGCTTTCACAGTTAGTGGCAAGAAAAGTTGTCACCAAAATCAGACCGTATATAACTTTTTGTAAAGGTGGGTTCACTGCAGTGAGGACCTGCTATACTGCAAATGCACTTGTTAAAAAAAAGTTGCACTGCCACGTAGCCTCACTTCAATGTTAAATTAATCATTTTTTATTTTAGAAGCTTGTTATGCAAGTTTATATGATTTTAGTAAATTTTAAAACTTAGCATAATTTACCAGTTATCACTTGCACCCTACTGAAATTCAAATTTCGCTACTATGCAAAGTTGCTTCCACTTCACTCTGCACCGAAAAGAGTGACATTTGTACATACCCTGTTTCAACCTTAAAAAATATTGTACAGGTTTGTTGGGTAATGATAAATATGCACATTTCTTTTCAATATGTGATATATAATATTCAAGTTAGTTGACTTAAAAATATTCCACCAATTCCACTTTAAACTCGCTTCCAACCTAAAATTTACGATTCAGACATTCTTGCTATATTCACATTCTGGTCCCAACATACTGGCAGAACAGTGCTCTGACAATACTACATATTTTCATTTTGAATGGCTGCATCCTGCCTCGCTGCAAATCCCGTAATATCCAACCAGTGAGAAAAGACAAAATAAGAAAAAAAAATAGAATTGCCGGGAGAGCAAGAAGTAGTGGGATAATTGTCCTTGCCAGCACTAAAAGAAAATTTTCAGCCAGTGAGGCAGTTGAAAATGTCCCAAAGTGTGATGTACAAATGCACCTGGAATTTATAGTTCAGTGTTGGATTGGTTCTTTGCATAAAGACACTTCATTCTTACAAAATGAGAAAAGATGTGTGCAGTTTGGCTGAATTTGGCACCTGTAGTATCTCGGGTAAAAAAAAAAAATGCATGCATTACTGCTGCTGTGTTGCATCAGAGGCACAGACATGCCACAGAGAATTAGTAGTGCGAAAGAAGCAAACACTTACTGAAGGCAAGAAGAATGTGAATAGTGTGATGAGCACTGATGACTAAGAGCAGCGGAATCGGGGCTCTGGGTGCGAGGAGCTAGCAGGAAGAAGCAGAGGAAGACGAAGTACAGAATAAGAACAGCTGGCCCAGGATCGGGTGTTGTCTCTTGTTTTCTTCATTACAATGGCGCAGTCGACGAAGAAGAAGTCTTACGTCCCGGCTTCATCATCCAGGACAGCCACGATAAGCCCCGCTTGAGGACAGCGTCAAGGCCTCCTCGGCAGCTGTTCACCTGCCGCCACTGCCACTACCGTTCGGGGATGGTGTCAAGGCCTCCTTGGCAGCTGCAGTACATGTTGCCGGTACCATTTCACAAGGGACGCCGTCCACGCGTTCTTGGCTATGGATTCTGCCGTCAGCGCAAGCCGACAAGTGAACCCTCTGCGGGAAGCCACTGGTACGTGTCTTCGTGGTTCGTCGGCAGTGCGGGCTCCTCCATCCAGGAACGCCGTTCACGCTTCTTTCACGTTCAAGCTCATAGCTGCCTTCGGCTGGACACTCTCCGATCTCCCTTCCACCAACCAGTTCAACCTGACGACTACCGAGGATAAGACGCAAGAGGGTTTCCGTCTCCAGGTTGTAGTCATGCGTTGGAGTTCACTTGAGCTTTCGGACTCTTTGCCTCCGTCCAATTCAAGTTCAGCTCAGCCAAAGACCACTATCGAAGACAGGCCTCGTGAAGGAGGTCACTCAAACGACATACCCTCACTGAACCATCCTGAATGTGCAGCTGTACCCTGCATAAGCTTTGGTGACCTCTTGGCTGAACGCTCCGCAGGGTACACTGAAACAGGCTCCAAGGCAGGCGTCGCTCTTCCGATGCCAGGTTTCACACCGGGACCCATCTCACGAACTTCCGTTCCAGCAACCAATGCCATTTCCAAGACAGCTGTCAGAGACAACCGTGGATAGCAAGGAGACAATCTTGGACCAGTGTGTGCCACATCTGCAGTCATTGACTGAGCGTGTGAGCTACATCGATGCGATCCAGGCAGAGAGAGCCAGCATCGGCTCTTCTGGCAACATGATGTACGATTTTGCCCACGACGACAAGCACGTCATTCTGACTCCCAATGTACAACATGAACATCGCGCAGACCCCCATGAACTCGTCACCATGAAACTCACCCCTGCTTGTTCAGGTCATGACCAGCTCGGTCAAAACAAGAACGATAACAGCAAGGAAGCTGCGGGCACGTTGCATCATGATCGTGTCCAGTGGCCTGTGAGCGCTCACACTCACCCTCTGTTGTGCAAGCATTTTTCGGCTCAGCATTCAAATGCGCATAAAAACCACGCCACCCCACTCAGACGACATAAATGTCTACTCGGCAAGCAACGACTGCTCCAACACACCCGCTGTCGCCCACCAAATCTCTACACTATGTTACAGCGTCGTAAAGACAGACCACCGAGGTACAACCAGTTTCATACCCCCGAGTCTTCATCGAATGCCAATGCCCAACGTCAACAACGACACTGTGGCCGACCAAGGCAACAAATACAGTCTCAGCGTGCCAAGTCACAGCCTAGACGGGTCCGGCCCAGGCGAGGAAGTCAATGCCACTCGCCAGAACTGTTTTCACCAAGTTTTCCGAAAAAGTCGAACCTTGGACAAGATCAACCGCAGCGACAGAATTTATTCCGCCCGTCGGAAAATGCACTGGAAGCATCACAACATGGCCGAGGCTTTAGACCGCCGCAACATAAAGTAGTAACCCAGAGTCGCTATCGGCCAAAGTTTACGCCAAATCTCAGCAAACATCGGCGTCTTAACCGACGTTTCGAACGACCACGGCGACACATTCAATGTCGGCCACTGGATCTTGCTACAAAATATTTTCAGACGAAGTTCAAGCGTGGAAGAGTCCGACCACCACGATGCAGCCAACCGCGCCCACATGAAGCACTGTCGGCAGCTCCACGCACTCGCAGTCATGGCCGAGTGCGATGAGCACTGATGACTAAGAGCAGCGGAATCGGGGCTCTGGGTGCGAGGAGCTAGCTGGAAGAAGCAAAGGAAGACGAAGTACAGAATAAGAACAGCTGGCCCAAGATTGGGTGTTGTCTTTTGTTCTCTTCATTACAATAGTTACAAAAACAATGCAGTGTCCCTTTCTCTTTCTATTTTTGCATATGACACAGAAGAAAGAACAAATAGAAGAAATAGATATATAATTTAAAAAATAAGAGCATGCAATAAGGTGAGTTTGAATTAATAGTCTTAACGCTGTGCCTTCAGTGCAGTTAGCCAATAGCAAAGCTGTAATATTGCAGTCGTAATCCTTTCAAAACACCAGTTCTCTACTGTTTTTTTATAGCTTCAACTGAGGAGCGTTCTTTCTAAGCTAAATCCAGGACAGCAACTAACTCGAATAAGGCTCTATTGGCACATACATACTCTCAGCATTCCTCTAAAACAGTAATAATAAATTACTCATTATTATTGACAATTTATTATTACTGTTTTTCAGGAAAGGTGATGTATATGCCAATAGAGTTTCGTTTGAGCTAGTTCCGGTTCTGGATTTAACCTATTTTGAAAGAAAAAAAAAAAGCTTCTCAAGTGCTCTTGGCCTCTCTCATAACTTCTTCCGAAACCTCTCACTATTCTTGAATTATATATTATAGTGGAAGATATTCAATATTATAGGTTTTCATTTGTGCAAACATGAAGTCATTGAATAGAACAAGGGTGCTATGAAGTTATTACATAGGAGCGATTCTCATGCACCCCTTTATAGCTTAGAAGCATTCAGTGATGTGGTAACCTGAAGCTTAATGTCTCATCCATGTCTCCAGATTGAATCCACCATTGGGGAAATGGAGCCTGAACACAACCTTGCCAAGAAAAATTTTGTGCACATCTGTGATGCCCTTGAGGTGAGAGTTTGAAGGAAAGTAAGTTGAGCAAAACGTGCCTCTTCATTCAACTACTGTAAAATGCCGAGCAAGAGCCCCCCTCACTTTTTTGGGAGATCTAAAATGAGTGCCAAAGACTAAGCGAGCGCACCCCTCTCAAATCTGGTCTGATTAATTATCCTTCACCGTGGGGGTGGGGTGGCACTTGCCCGGCATTTTATTTACGGCATGTGTCATCACTTCATTCATGCATAAAGCATTGTTTTAATGTTTGTAGGGTCTCGAGAAATGTAGCATGCTCACAGAACGCACGGACACAGTCACACCATTGAGCAACCTACGAGTGTACATTTATTAATCTGCCCTTGCATCATAAGGAGCTCGCTAGCCGAATCTAATACACCACTAGTGACACGCTAAATAACCAATGCAATGACAATACAGCACGCAAACAACATAATGCAAGGTACTGCAAATGTGGCATTGCCGGCGCTCGTCTCACCATGAGGGATCCACGGGAAACGAACCGCAGCATTGTCCCCACAAACCCACCGCAGGAGACTGCCATCCACACATGTTGTCAAAAGCCCAAAAAGACCTACTCCTGTTTCCTGTGTGCCGGCCTAACCTATCTACCCCCAGGTGGCGCTGCTGGTCCCACTGCGCTGACTTTACGGCACACGAGCACAACGCCACGGCCCACTTGGCAGCTGTTAAGGCTAACTATGGCTCCATGAGATGCACAGCCACCATGAGGCAAAAACGACTTTACAGGGGGTGGAAGCACCCTTCACACACTGTAGTGCTTATCAAGAATCGCAAAGCACACTTGAACATGATCTCCTTACAGTTTATTTCAATGAGGGTAATTAAATGAATGCATGCAGTTGTCACACCACCACAGTGAAATCTTGTCAATACGATTTTGATTAGTGTGTTTCTCAGCATAAGTTTTTAGAGGCAAAGCTGCTTAAAGTCGAGGCTTCTCCATTGACGTTGTTATAGTGTACTAGAATATGCTGGGAAGTGGGTCAAGGAGAGGGCGCGCTCCGTGCGGCCGCTTGAAGCAGCAAGTGCGTGGTGGCGCTGTGGTGCCATGGGCTGTAAGCAAGTCCGGTAGGTACGGTGCGGCAGTATAGATTGGCAATTAGAAGCCACGGATGTGGCTGTTTTGCATAGGAAAATAGCCACATAAGGGTTAAAGAGAAGCACAAACTTTCCACTTTTCATTCCAAAATTACTGCAGCACAGTATATATGCAAAGGCATGCGTGGAAAGCAAGGCACATATCGAACAGATAATGCTTAGTGCAATGCAATGCATAGGTATAGACATGCGCGAAAAGAAAGGCCCACATCAATCGGATAACGCCTTAATGAAAACTTGTAATCCGAGAACGTGCTCTCTGTCTACGAAAGGAACAGATAAGTGCCACTAATGCATAACGAACCTTGTGCTTTTATGCGAAAAGCTTCCAACAGTTATCCAAGCAGGGGGGGGGGGGGGGGGGGGGGGGGGGGGTAGTGTGTCTGCTTTTCACCAGAATCCGAACTTTTTAGTCTGGCCAACGTACGTCTTGCCACAGAATAGCGGGAATTCGTTGACAACACCGGTGGCACATTTTGTGTACGAGTTAGTGTGCTTCTTGCCGCAGCCATTTTTTTTGTTCTCATCATTTAGTATACGTCGGCAAAGCTAACATAGCTTCCATGTCGTGTTGCAGCCTTCTTTAAGTTGTGTAAAACACAGTGCGTATACAGTACAACCTAAGGTCAGCGTTCCTCGCTCTTGCTCCACACCAGTACTGTGGTGTTCACGCTTGAGCTCCTGGAGGAGCAACTCGGCGACGGCGTTAAAAAGTACACGAGGGAAACCAGCCAATGTCAACTGACCCCATTGGTTTTGAAAACCCTTCTGGGTGCGCGGGAGCGTAAGCTGTCACTAAAAGGTAAAGATGGGGCCCATTTTCCAGCGCACTGTAATTCACACAAGTGTGAGCCGCATCTGAATAAATTTTAGGTTCTAGGGAGAAGCAGGGACACCACTGCTCAAACTGTTCGAAGCTTTTGACATAAGAGCACAAGGTTTATTATGCATTAGTGACAGTTATTTATCCCTTTCACAGGCAGAGAGCACGTTCTTGGACCGCAGCTTGTGATTAAGATGTTCGATATGGAACCATGTAAAAATTAAAGTAGTTCCGCAGTTTTTCTTCAATATTTTGTATGGGATATTGCTGCAAGACCAATCTGCTGTTGTCTGTTGCCACCCAAAAATATTAGTAACATTTGCTGTGTAAGCTAATGATAGTTTATCATGGTACACGCATTAGAACACGTATGACTACTGAACTAAATATGGGCACATCAGCATCACGATCGAAGCATCTGAAGAGTACACAGTCCCATTCTCGAGACGCGTTGTTGTAGGCAGGACGATTTCGCAAGCCGCTACCACATCCGCGTAAGCCGAATTAGCCAGGAAATTCTAGTTAGCAGTAGCAACTACTTACGGGGCATGCACCAGAATACAGAGCGACGATTCCATGCTGCGTTGCAGCACGCGCCACCAGTTTCGTACTGCCCATGCTCTGGTAGCGCTATCTCATGCCATCAACGTGACAAGCGTCACTCGCGGTTGTTCTCTTAACCCACTATCCAGTATATTCTCATACACTTTAGCCGCCTTCAACCACATGCAAGGTACCTACTATACGCCATGACACTGACAATGACGCTGATGACGACGATGATTATGGACAACTACAGGCTTGTACAGTATATGACGTAGAGATGCAGCCTTTTGTCATTGTGTTGCCATTGTGTAGCTATCAGAGCGGCCGTTGTGGTGAAAGAAGAGGGAAAGCGTTTGAAGCGTGCGACAAGTCCCTGTAACTCCATTCGTACTACTTGATGGATTCTTTTGCGGCAGTCAGTTCATGAGACAATGAACTCCAGGGTCAGTTAATGATTATCTAAAACGTAGCAAGGCCCTTTTAATCCATGCTTCTCAACGTGCTCGACATTTTCAGGCAAAGAAGCATGATCTCAGGTGCTGCAAGGAAGATGCTCAGAGTCGACTGTACAGGCTGGAGGACCTCAAGGAAGAACTGGGAAGCGCTGACGCAGGCATAGTCCGGGAGAACCTGCAAGGGAAGCAGCTCAGAGAGGAGATTAGCGCCATCGTGAGTTTGCAGCACGAGCTGGCACAGCGCCTGAGCACCAGCGAGCGCAAGGTGAAAGACACGACCTCGCAGCTTGCTGACACCATGAACGCATTGCACAACCTTAAGAGGAAAGAGCAGGACCTGGTAACCAGGTACACACTATATTTCGAGAGAGGTTCAGTCCTCCACGTGTACGTGTGTGTGTGTACGAGCACATTGCATGCATGCTTATGGGCCTTGGTAGTTTCACAGGTAAGATGCTCACCGTTAGGATCAAGGATGTGAGTTTGATTCCCGATCACAGTGCACACATATCGATGGGAACTAAATGCAAAAACACTTGAGGGCTTACATTTAGGCACACTTCGGAAGACCTGCGGCAGTCGGACGGATTTATTCTTGAGTCCACTACCACATCATGATGCATAATCGTTTCGCAATTTTCTCATGTAAAACCCGAGAAGCTTTTTGTATGTGCTATATGCATACAAACTGCCTAAATTTTAAGGAGTCGGGAAAACTGCCTTTGATGCATTTAATAGCTGCACGATTTTCTGGCTCCTTTTGCTCTTCCAACTAGTGTACTAATGCCATGCAGATATTTTATTTGTACCACATAGTTCGGACTTGAGGGTGTTGGAGTGCAATACGCAGTCCTCACTCTCACACTTATGCCATGACCACGCCATGACCACCCACTAATGATAAATGCAATGGCTGTGCACGAACATTGGGTTTATCAAAATTCATTCTTTTCAGGCTCAATAAATCAGTGGAATGAACATGAAATGAGCCTGAGATATGCAAATTACGTGTGATTCAGCTTTTGTGAGGAACTATATTGCCATATGCAGTTACTGTCATAAAAGAGTATTTTCATACTTTTCAAGTGTAGTGTTCTTCAATGCAGTAGCTTTAAAGAGCTCATTTTGCTGAAATTTCAGTGTCGACGTCAGTGTCGTTAGTTGTCATCAAAAGATTGGGAAAGATGCAACTAATATGAGTGATAAAAACCTTCGGCATGAGTGAAAATTGAACGCGAGACTTCTGCGCGGCACCAGGTGTTCTAACAGATCTATGCCAGTTGAAACTGGTTAAAAAAAGACACTATATATATGTCATGTAGTGGGACAAGTCACCTTAAGACATGTAACATTGCTTGGCAGAAGCGCAGAATTGTGCCAGGTGTCAAAACATGTGAATTGCACAGTGAGAGCGTTCAAAAAAGTGGTGAAGCATCAACAAAGTGGGCAGCTGCACAGGTTTCTATGTTGCCTTGTAGACGCATCGTGGGCCCTTCACTGACTTGCATAGCGAATAATTATGACATAGTGGTGACTGCGCAACTGTACTTGCAATAGGCATTCTAGGATAGTTTAAAACGGCCACAGATGTTTGCTTCCTTGTGGCACGCTTAAGACATTCACTGAGAATCGAAGCCAGGCTAGCGATAGAGAAGGTGATGCAACCGATTGCAACTCTTGAAAGCAGCTCAAGGGACCTCCATAGTGTGTGGGTGTGGGAGTGGAAGTTATGAGCCTTTCATGTCTGTAAGTATATGTGAACTGAAGCCAACTGGCATCCAGCCTGTCTTGTGTCTTCCTTGGCGATTTTGACCAATTTGTAATACCAGAGACCATTTCACTTTCAGCAATATACGTTGATACTTCGTATGTATGACCATACGACTGTCCGATTTAGAGTCATCAGCTTCTATATTTGCTGCTGATATATACCTATGAAATGAGTTTCTGTTCAAATTGGTTTAATGTCAGTTCAACGTCCTTGCACCAACTGCTCGAGCTGATGTAATTTTCATTTCTCATTTTGTATGCGCTAGGATGGCAAAATTGGATGAAGAGAAGAAGTCCATCATGCAGCATGTACTCCACAGCCACTGCTTTCCCACAACCCAGGAACGTAATGTCTGGATTGAAAGCGAGCTTCGCAAGATTGAGTCTGCTGTGCAAGAAATTGAGCAACAGGCAAGTGTCATCGCATTTTGTCACTGTATCACTGCATTCCGTCACTAGTTCATCACACATGCAAAGTATGAATGCGGTACTTGTCATGGGTAAATCATAGTCCACTGCTTATCGTGTTTTGCGAAATGTTCTTTAACAGTAAAGCGGTTAAGTTAAGCCATAATCCTGCTGAAAGGGTATGCCCATGTGCCACAGTAATTGGGCAAATCTCGCTACTTGCCGCTGGTGCACTAAAGATAAAGACGGCAACAGTTAGCCCGGCAAAAGGCTGCGGAGCCACAGCAGCGAGGCGAAGACCTGGAGTACGTACAAGAAAGTGCTAGGGTACCGTAAAGGGAATAGCGGCCGCGAGAAGACCGTGAAGCGATGGGAGGCCATGTCAGTGACAGCGTGGCTTCAGATCTATGGGGTGTGCGAATGCTTGGTTTCAGCAGGAGTTTCAGTCTCTGTAGTTTTGGACGTTCGTGTCATACCTGTGACTGTCTGTGGTTTGACTTGGACCTCTCTGCACTGAGATTCAGCATGGAAACGGCCTAGCATCAAGTCCGGCAGAAACAACCCTCGTGCCTTCGCTAAAACCTAGAAACAGCTTAAAAGAAACCATATTAGTCTTGAAAATCGTCCAGTTTCCCTGTATCAAGGCTCGCGTGTAGGCTTGTGTGAATATGTGAATAATAAATTTTAGGTTCAAAGGGTCTAGGGATTTGGTTCGAGTAATTTCGAATCGAATAGCATATATCACGTAATATACAGAAAAATGAGCGTGCTTTTTATGACCCCACCACCTGCACAACATTTTTTTTTTTAATTCAAACAAATTATGTGTAAATGTCATTCTTTTTGGTTCAAAGGAAGCGAAAGCAACTTGTAATTAGTAGCAAGATTTGACTTTCTGTAGAATGCAAGTGATAACTGGTAAAATATGTTGCATTTTGAAATTCACCATACTTAGAGCACACAAGTTATCACAAAAAGGTATTAAACTTTAAAAATCACAAATTGATGCTAAGGAAATATGTTCATTTAACCTTGCTGTAGAACTTTGCGACCGTGCGGGTTTATTAGTTTTTTTGGAAAGGTGTATTCACGGTATAGCATCTCTTCACTGCAACAAAACCACCTGTACAAGGTGTTGCATGCAGATTTATAAACATCTATTTGTTCATTTCAAGTACTTCAAATTTCCAATAGTTTAAATTCAAATTGAAGTGAACTTGAATATATGAGTATTATTTCAAATATTCAAAGTGCTCCAATATTCACACAAACCTATTTGCACAGCTTAGTGCAAACAGTCGCGTTTTTTTCGACAGCAAATTCTGTTAATATTGTTGCATGTATCTGCAAGACAAACGAAGACCAGTGAACTGGCTGGCTGCCCTAAGCAGGGCTAGAATGAAGAGGAAGACGCTGGGGGCATCAACCTGTTGGCCGCTCCTGCGCTCACCTTCACGACCTAATAAATACCCCTTCAGTCGTAGAAGTCTCGGTCTCCTCTGCACGTAACAATATTGTGCAATTGTCTTCAGAATCCTATGATTCGTTATGTGTCATAATCTGTGGGGAGCTCAATACCTCTTCATCATATATTAGGAGCATAAGAGGTTCAGAGTTATGGCAGGTAACATTGCTGGCAGTGCATATTCGTGCAGTAATATTGTACAGTAATATCTGTACTTCTGGTTACTATTCTATGCCACAAGTTTTGATACTACTAGACTAATTGCACATGAGTGCAAATAAAACAGGAATTGCAATTAAGTAAATAGGCATCAAGAGCTGTTCAACACTTAGGCCACAAAATATGCAATGAATGGACGTTACAGTGGTTAATCAACTACAGATTATTGTGACTGTAAGTGAACATTCTATCACTTTATAGTGAGTAGAACCTCATTGATACATTTTCGAAAAGAATGCAGTACATAAATGTACAATCTCGGCAAACATATGATTCGAATCCAATAAAAACTGGGGCTGCGCAGCCCATATCTAAGTGCAAGGTCAAAAAACATTTATTTCTCAAAACATAGAGGGGCTCTTCGATTTTCGAAATTTGAGAGCTCTGCGATCGCCAGCGATGCCGGCGAGCCTCTTGAGTTGAGTAGTCCAGGTAGAGGTGAGAAGGAGGGTATGATATAATTGTCTGTAGGGACATTGGTACACGGTGTGTCACTAAATTCGGGGTGCGAATGATGTGTTGATGCTCTAGCCTAAACGCCGACTAAACTTGAAAAAAAAACATTTTAGGGTCCCTTTAAAGACAAGACGATTATGTAGGTTTGGGCCTCACAATGTATATCAATTTCTTGCTAATACACTCACTGCAACAGACCTCGATAGATGAGGATATGTTGGTCTGCTTTGAAGGATGTAGTGTAGGCCTCAAATTAAGGTCTTGCAACAGACCTCAATATAAATCCTAAGTGGGCCTCCATCATCGCAAAACTGTTCACGTCATCTGCTGCAATATTTTGCTCACTATAGTTCTTCGGGACTTGGACATCACCCAAGGCGTGCATCACATTCAGACATCAGTGTCAGTCTTGTGTTTTCATCTCGACCTTCTTTATTTTGCGTCAATAATTGAGTTGGTCTATAGATGTTTCATTAATTACACATTTTCGAGCTGAGAGTACAGACTGCTTCACCTTCTTTAGTATGATGCATTTATGAGTGGACGTTTCATTGTCTTGTCCTCCCTGATTGTGTATCCTTGTTGACGACCTTCTCTTGGGATGTCATGTATCCACAGTGTGAACAGCTTGAGTCGGAGCTTCAAGCTAGCAGTGCTGAGAGGGATCGCTGCATATCTGAGAAAGAGGCAAGCTTTGCATGTGACTTTTTGCTAGCAGTCATCTCTGCTTGTTCATGGCCTGGCTGAGCAATGTCCTATGACTGCATGTTCTTTGCATGTCTTTGTTTTTTTCAACTTGCAATGCAGCCATTTTTGTTCTTGTCACTTTTCAATGGCTACAGAGAATCTTTCAGTGACCGACCATAGCAGATGTGCCTTGGCATGAAATAATCTCTTGTTGCTTCACCTATCCTGGTGGCGTGGCGGATTTCAAGCTTCACGCAACGCCACACTGCATGAGAAAGCTGTTTATGTATGTGGGCAAAAATATGTGCTTTTTTTGTTTGTGTGAATAAAGCAAGTGGAACAAACAAAGCACGTCATATCAGCTAATGATTTTAGTTAGAGGAAGCGTAAAAAACAAATACAACACATTTATGGAAAGACCTCATAACAATGCCTCATAACAATATTGTGGTTCTGGCACATAAAACAATAGCATTTATTTGCCTTACTTTGCTTCATGGAAAACAAGGAAATTATTTATTAGTAGAGAAAAAAGCTCAACTTAGCATAAACCATTTGCTTGCCATGCAGGCAAAAAAAACAAAAACGATTCAGAGGTCAACCATAAAACAAGAGTAGAAAATAAGCTCTTAAAGTATAATGCAAAAAAAAACATTGCAAAATGATTTCTACAGATAAAGAAAAGAAAACAATGGAAAACGTGAATGTAAAAAGTGAGTGTCATTACAAATTGCTATCTAAACACACATTAATAGGAAGCTAACAGCCCTGGCTGAGCAAGTTTAAAATGAAATCATTAGTATTTTAAGACTGTTCACAGCATGCTGTCCCGTCTGTTCCATAACACTGTTTGCTGTGGTGAAAAACCGCCCCACTGTGCAAGCTGTGCCACTGTCTGATGCTCGGCCGGTTTCTGCTGCGGCGAGTAGCAGGTACAAGCAGAGCTGGCTTCCTTGCGACAGCGGGATGGAAGCATGAAGGCTGAACTTGTCAAGCTGCAGAAGCAGAGCTATGCAGCCATCGACAAACACATGTAAGGCCATCGCATACCAACAACATTTTCCCATGCTTCTTTGCACTGCTGCCACTGCCCGCAACATCGTTGCTGGTCCGTTGGCAAGAATCTGTTTGCCTATTATCCCAGCTGCATTTTACAGCGAAAGCTGTTATGAGGTCGCAACACGAGTCCTGCGCTGCACCAAAGTTGTCCGCGCCCGCTGCCAGTGTTCGTAATCAGTATCGCACGAAATAAGAACAAAAATTCAATAAATAAAAAAACATAGAGGATACAATGAGATTCGAACACGGGTCCCCTGCATGCCAGGTCAGTATTGTAGCACTGAGCCACGCCGATGCTTGGAACTCATTTCCGAACTGGCCTTAGGCAGGCTTGATGTCAGGAAAGGAATCCCATTAATATGAGTAATAAAGCGTTTTAGAACATTGAAGGAACAACCAGGCATCGCACAATGTGATTTGCATAATGACTTTGTTGTCCAATGCTCTAACCCATTACAAAAGCTTGTTTTTGATCACCTATTAACTGTGACGCATATGCACTTTAGGCATATTTCTTCATCGTCGTCAGTCACTGCATATAAAAATTGCACAAAATTCTTAGCAAGTGTGTAGCGGATACCATGCTTCTCCAAAAAATGAAGAGGAATAGCATAGTGAAAGCCGGCCTCCTACACAAAAAATATGATTGTTTATGGCATAATGGGTTCCCAGCAAGTGTGCTTGTACCAGTTACTGAGAGAGTGTTTAGAAAAGGCTCTGAAAGGCCGCTCTTCCAGCTTTCGTTGTGACTGTGCTGCGCCTTCCAAGCAGGCCTGTTTTTTTTTTATTTTTTTATGAAGCCGAAATGTAAATATGTCTTGTAGGACTTATGTCTAGAATCACGATAAAAAGCACCATGTGTTAATTAACATGTTAGTTAACATTACAACCCTTTGTGCATCGCCTCCAAGCTTTGGAACCGACGCCTGCACAAAGGCTAAGTGTACACTGTTTGCTGTACACTGTGATCATCTGCACTTGCTCTCTCTTGTTAGTGTTTCCTTTCCCTTGCACAGATAAGCCAGCCAAACATCAAGCTCCTGCAGCTGTCCTTCCTGCTTCTTTCACATTAGTGTTATTCTTTCTCACCACATTAATGATAAAGTCCCATAAATTATTAATAATTATTGTACAATGCAAAGGCAGCTGGTGATCCACGGCAATCAGTGTTGCAGAATGTTTTCATTTTTGTCACACTTTATGTCTTTTATGTTTGCTGTGTGCCGTTGTAATGTTTGTAGCGGCTCCACTAGAATCATTGCACCATTTGTTCATAAGCTGATTCCAGGAATGCGAGTTCTGTGAACAGAAAACCATTTAAATGCTGCATCATACAAGTTCCTCACACAACTGCGCACACAACTCTCTACGCAGCTGAGTGAATCACGAGTCCAGTCTTTGTCCTATTCACCACCTGTGATCATTTCATAAGTGCTACTTTATTGGTACGAACGATGTGTTAGTGAAATTGTTTGTGGTGTCATAAAAACTAGGCAGTTTAAGTCAATGCCAGAAAACTGTTTTAGTGTTAGGTCAACTCAGACCACCTACTGTGCTATCACTGATATTGAAAGAAAGTTCCTTTCCACTGTAACGTCTTGCAAATGATCAAACATAATTGACTGACTGATGATGTATGCACGAGTGTTTTGTATGCTGCATTTTATGCTTCGTAGGCAACAATGTGACAATTACACAAATACACACAATGTTTATTGATGTCTCAACCTGTAAATTTTGTAGAGAGGTTCTTTCTTTGTCAGTGGAATGAGTTTGCTTAGCAGGCATCCATCATGCTTGGCTACACGCAATATGGACATATTGGACACGCAAATGGACACAAGTGACAGTGTTGTCATAACGAAGCATACGAATACGAGGCCTGTTAAAAAAGTGCCTGACTTTTTTCTTTTTTTTTGCTAGCACCTGATGGATTTGAAACAAGCGCGCTAGCATCAGCCGACCTTGAACCTTTGTGCGCATGCGCGAGTTTTTTCCCGCCTGCCGATAGCATCGGTCGTTTCAGCGCAGCGTTTCAGTGAGGTAGGGCGCATCGCTCTTGTCGGTTTCTCATTGCAAGAAAAATGATTGAGCGACTGGAGCAGCGCTACTGCATCAAATTTGCCTGAAACTGGACGACAGCTAAGTAAGTAGAAACTATTGGGACGATCAAGACGTCTTTCGGTGACAGCGCTATGAGCCGCACCGAGTGGTACGAAAGATGGCTGCACATTGGTGAAGATTTCTGGTCGGCCATCAACATGCCGAAATGACCAGGTCAATGTTGAAGTGAACGCTGTGGTGATGCGGGACTGTCCTGTGACTATCCAGGAAATCGCGAAAGAGGGGGCATCAGCACTTTCTCTGCACATTCCATTATGACTGAAGATTTGGCCATGAAGAGAGTTGCGACGAAATTCGGGCCGAAATCGCTGACAGAGGAGCAAAAGTAACTTCGTGTTCAAGTCTCACAGGACATGCTGGATTTCACAAGCAGTGACCCTAACTTCATGAACACTATTATCAATGGTGACGAGTCTTGGGTGTACGGTTATTACTTGGGAGCTAAATCCCAGTTGTTACAGTGGAAGCATTCCATGTCATCAAGATTAAAAAAAGCCCGCCAAGTGCTCAGCAACGTCAAAGTGATGTTGAGTGCTTTCGTTGACTCCCGCGTTGTGATACACCACGAGTATGCACCAAATGGTCGAACAATCACCGAAGAGTACTGCAGGAATGTCCTCTGTCATCTACATGATGCTGTGCGGCGCAAGAGACCTGACTTGTGGTCAACAGAAAACTGGTGCATCCATCACGACAATGCTTCTGCACATTCCTCACACTTGGTTCAGACTTTTTTGCCGAAAAGTAAAACTCCTGTAGTTCAACAGGCTCCTTGCTCTCCTTATATGGCCCCCTGCAACTCCTGGCTGTTTCCCCAACTCGAGAGGACATTGGAAGGAGAGCGATTTCAGACAAGGGAGGACATTATGGCTGCAACGACAGCTCGAGCTGAACTCCATTCTGAAAGAGGCCTTCTCGGAATGCTTCCAACAATGCCACACCGCTGGGAGAAGTGTGTGGAGTCCCAAGGAAACTACTTTGAGGGAGATTAGGTTTCCAACGCTCCAATTATGCCAGTTAATTTTCTTGCACCAAAGGTCAGATACTTTTCTAATAGACCTTGTATGTATTATCTTTTTCATTTTATTCGATTATGCTGCTAAAGCAAGGTGAGAGGACAGTGCCCAAATTTGTCCAACGAAAACAAGTCCATTTGTATAAGTGTTGACTCCAGGGACATGCCCTGTTCAACGATTTCTTAATTCTACATTGAAATACGTGACCCATGGTGCAGTTTGCTATTTTTCTGTTGCAAATGGCAAGCAGTGATACACTCTATCCGTATAAATTAAGCAGCGCATATTAATCATGATGCTTTTTTTTTTTCACATTATTTCTGCACATATGCCGGTACCGTAAGTTTCATCCTGCTGCACAGGGGCACTCAACGACTGGAGGAGGACTGCCAGGCCAGTTTGAATCAGGCACGGGACGCTATTGCACGGCACCAGCCTCATATGGTTGCTGCTATGGGCAGGGTATGTAGTCTCTTTGACAACATTTGCCTTGCGTGCATTGTTATGCTGAAAGGGTGGTTATTTCGAGTGCACATGTTCATTGCTTATATTTAGCACACTATTTGGTTTACACCAGTTGGCCTATAAGTGTCTAGTTGCCTTGTAGACTGCCATACAACAAACATACAATGTGCATCTCGGCAACGTCTGGCAGCTAATGCTACCGCGATTGCGTCGATGTGCAGGCTGTTGTAATGAGGTGGCAGTACTACAACACACTATCTTGACATTGCAGGCCGAGTTTGCTGGTTGGCAAGGCTTAAAAAAAGTGCTGGAAAACCCTGATGATCCGGCCATTGGAGAGTACATGGGAATGCTTATTGATCACTTACAAGTGCCAGATGTCCTGACCACCGCTTTGGGAGCAGCACTTGGCAAAAAGTTAGTGCTATGACGTTTGTGGTTTTTGCTTCTGGTTCGCCACCATTCGTAAATTAGTGTTTGTGCAGATTTATTCTGGCAAAAATGATCGGTTGTTTGGCAAGGAGCCTGTTTTGATGCATACTTTATATTTACATGACAGGATTCACTACATTTATAAAAATAACCTACTGGCAGTGAAGTTCACGAAGGTATTGGGACATTATTTTTAGTCTTTTAACTTCTGTACAAATTATTATATGAATGCAAAAAAGTCTAAGTGAACGTAAAGACAATTTGCCACTGGCAAGGATGAAAAGTGCAACCTTCCAAAAGTTGCAAGTTCGGTCCATAATGTGAAAAAATGTGGTACTACGTACAATCAGCACGTCTCAAAATGAGTGAAACGAATTCATTTGATATGCTTGCTTCAGTAAATCTGATACTTCATATTATACTGTGAAGAAGAAGATGTGCCTGCAGCGAGCAGCATCGCCAACGCCAGGCTCTCTCGGCTCGTGCTTCGGTTGCCTGCTGTGCCGGTCTCTGCTGGACGGTTCATCACGCTGCCTTGCCGTTGTCGTTAACGACTAATAAACCTCTTCACAATACATTAGACATTGGTGAACCATATGGTCTCTCGAAACTGCAAGTCATGAATGTTAGCTGATTGGACAAAATTGTTACAAGAAAAATTAGTCATTGACACTAAAGATCACAGCAGTGGCAAGCACGGTTGTCAATTGTCAAAACATTAACCTTCAAGACAAATGAACCAGTCATATATACAGCTTTCATCATGCATTCCAGTGTAATATCTGGATATTGTAAATGTTTGATAATGTGCGTTGGTGTTTGCATTGTGCACATGATTTGGTTAGATCATTTGCTGTGTGATTGTTTGTGAGATCCTGGAAATTGTGAATAAGGTAGTTGCATCTTGCACAGAATGATATCTTCGAAACTGTGGTTTGATGGTAAAAATGGCAATGGAACAAGCGTAGAAAACAAGGTAAAGCTTAAGAAACAGTGAAGCTGGTTGATCTTAGGGGCTTGACGTGGCCTTCTTGGGTGACGTTGGGCCTTTTCTAGGTGTAGACAGAGTACAGTTGAACCATAGCCTGTCACAGGCCATGCAAAAGTTTTCCAACTCCTGCGCTAAAAGCTAATGTGAAAACCTGACTGTGGCACCACCGGTAGAAATACAGACCTTGCGTCGCTTGTACTCAGCTCACGCCTCATCGGGCACACTTGGCAGGGCAGCCGCTTCGACTGCTTGTTTGTGGGCACGGCATGGCGGTGGCTGCTCTTTGGCACATGCATGATCCAGCGAGGTTAAACCCAGGTGATGCGCAGCGGTGGCTCGGTTATTGATAAGCAACAGCGCAGGGGGTTTTTCGCAGACACCCTACGTTGTACCTCGAGCGTTAAGAGCTCTGCTTTTAACATGTTCTTGCATCAATATTTGTAATTAACAAGTCTAGGTTGGCTTGTAGTAGGGGCAAGATACCAAATACCACCCAACTTCTTGTGCACACACGCATGTGCGCATGTGTGTGCGTATACTTTTAACATTACAAAAATTGTGAAGTGCACTCCTCAAACAAAGTGAGAAGTCAGTATGACTCTCATTAAATGAAGCCTGAAAGGACCAGAATATTATGTTCTATTTAAAGGGCCCCTAAACCACCCAGAGGTCAAAATAAAGCTATGGTGTTGCAATTGTGCGCGAGTCTTAAACACATAGTGGGCGTGAAAATTTTTCGACACAGTACTGTAAGAGAGGAGTTGCATTATTTTGATTATCCAAAAAGGGCTTCCGCTCATTTCGCTCTTTTCTTCACTCTGCTTTATTCGTTTGCTCATCTCTCCTCTTCGAGGAGTGCTCCTCATCACCGTGTGAGGGGGAAGTGTGGTGAGCGAGGGTGCCTGCAAGCTCACAAATGGGTTCATTCTGGGATTGACATGAGCACACTATAATGTTGACATTGAACCATAAGGTGAGGATTACCAATAGCCCCCGAGAAGTGGCGGGACAGTTTCTTTTATTTTTGCGGGGTGCCCGTGCCTTGTAGTGCTGGCTCTGGCATTGTTGATCACGACAGCATTCTGAACCCGATTGCTTTTACTTGAAATGTTTCAAAATTACAGGAGGTGGTACACGGTGCCCTTTACCCAGGGTTACATTTAATGAGAGATGAACAAAAGTGCAAAGTTTGAGCACAATATCAGTCATATTAGGTGCAGTTATTGCATTCGAGCAACAATTCCATTTAAGTGCATTATATCTGCCAAGAGTTCAGAATTTCAAGTTGTTCACTCTTATCATTTTCAAAGTCTGCACCTTCTTCCACTGCAGACTGTTCACTCACCTCGTGCGAAGCTGTTCGGCCACAACAACTCTCTTGCGCAAGTTCTATGCCTTGAAGACTCGAGGGTACGTTGGCTTTCAGGCACTGGACAAGACCGCTGTGCAAGACCGGTTACCAGAAGTAAAGGGAGTATGTGCTGCTACCTATTCAAAGGAATGTGAATCGCATATTACGATAAGCTGAATAGTTGTTCTGGGTGGTGATGCATGTTTCGTAAGGAACCAGATGAGCGTTTAACTACAGCAGCTCTCATAATTATACTGGCGTTTAGTTGCGTGAAACCCCCAAAAGTTACCGAAATGTATGCAGTCAAACGTGCATATATCAAACTTGCTAAAAAATGGGCATTAGTGCGGTATATTTTATAACTTGATACAAAGCTTCTAAAGAATTTACTCTATTATTTATGGAATTCTTGATGCATAAGTTGGCTTCTTGACACTGCTTTGCAAGAATGCAAAGAAGGCAGCTAATGACAATGTGTTAGTATTTTAACGTTTTTCATGCTTCCGCGGTTTGTAGTTGGAGGTGCAAGTTATGCACAGTGGGGAAAGCTGTAGGTCAGATGATACGGTATCTATGTAAATTTTAACATCTTCAAATGCATTCGAGCATACTTGCCAGTCGTGGGAAATATCTGTATGCCTCGGCAATAATGTTGGCATTGTTTTTCAATATCGTACTCAGCGTGCATATTTCAATGCTCTACACAGTGATGACATGAGATTTTTGTTCTCTAAAGTTGACTTTGCTAATTGTTGCCAGCTTTGCACAGAACAGCTAGATTGTTCCTTATTATGAGAGCTATTGTGTTAACAAATGGAGCGGAGAATCAAAGAGTAACCATACGTGACGGCCACAACGATGATGAATCATGGGTGAAAGCATGCATTAGTATGCAATAGTGTTTACTTGCTCTGTGTGGTACTCTCCTAACCACACCATTGACACTCCCAAATGCATGAGAGAAAGTCCCCTTTGTTGAGAAAACACCAATTTCTTAAGGGAAATCCAACTTCTTGGGTAGTTGCATGCCACCCGTTGTTCCATGTATCAAGTGTTCCATATATCAAGTGTTCCGGCTGTTTTTCTTCAATTCAGCCGTAAATTTTTCCATGCATTGACTTTAAATTATTGTAGCTTTCAAAAATAGTTTAATACAAAGGATACTTTGATTTACTCAAGTCTGATGTACAATAAAACGTCACTTAAATGAACTATCTCGTAGTTTGAAAGTCCCCTTTGTTGAGAAAACACCAATTTCTTAAGGGAAATCCAACTTCTTGGGTAGTTGCATGCCACCCGTTGTTCCATGTATCAAGTGTTCCATATATCAAGTGTTCCGGCTGTTTTTCTTCAATTCAGCCGTAAATTTTTCCATGCATTGACTTTAAATTATTGTAGCTTTCAAAAATAGTTTAATACAAAGGATATTTTGATTTACTCAAGTCTGATGTACAATAAAACGTCACTTAAATGAACTATCTCGTAGTTTGACTTTTTAAAAATCCTCTGCTGAAGCCCCATTCGCCCCAGTGCCAACACATTTCAGTTTAATAAAATTATATACACTGTAGCACAGAGGACATTTTTGTTCTATGAATAAATTTTGTGACTCCATCCTGTGCCTCCCACATCACATTCCTCATTGTCTGAAAGTCTGGGCACAGAAAGTGCTTCGCGTTTTGAAGACTATTTCAGCTGTAGCTTTCACAATGAGAGATGTGCCATTATGTCCGCAGATATTGTAGCGAGTGTCCTACCTTGGGAAGTATAAGAGGCATAAGAAGTAATCCTTGTAGTGGAAACATCAGGAGTTTCAATAAACAAGCACCGATGTGCTTCGAAAACGTGACACCCTTTGCTGCTTGACAAAGGGTTGTGCCAGAGAAGGCTTATGAATGCTGGGACACAGCGACCCAATTCATGACCACTGCAGCCCTATGCGCACAAGTGCCGTAAAGATTACTGCATTTTCCAAAACATGCTAGATAAATAGAAATCCACAATCAAATAAGCTGCATAGCAAATAAAAGTATTCAAATTTTATTTGGCAACTGACGTTTTCTTTAGCTCCTTATAATAGGTTGCAACAAAACTAGTATTTCAGTTCAGCCAACCTTCAGTTTAACAAACTTTCTCCTGGTGTCCCTTGAAGTTCGTTCAAGTGTAGTTTAACTGGAGTCTGATTGTAAAATATAATAGACAAATGCAATATTGTGCAACACAGGTGCTCATTCAGAACTGTTGAGTTGTGAGTCTCTTCATTGATCATCCTTCTCGCCATCTAGGCTCTTCACAAAAAAAAAAAATACGAGGTGCACATTTTTGTTGTTGCAAGTCATTTTGGAAAACGCATCAGCCAGAGATTATTATTATGCCATAAAAATACTGCGTAATATAAATTTTCTGGCCTATATACATACATTACCTTATCTTTACCTTTGATACAATCGACACACATATATCGAACCTACACATAACAAATTACTGTGTATGGTGTACAGTTGTAAGAGCCTTCTGAAGAATTTTCAATTTGTAAAATATGTTACACACTGCATTACCAGTATGTTGAACTTTGTTGTGGTCTTCTTCAGATATGCGGGTTCGATTGTAATAGTAAGAAACATCTAGCACAATCACTGGGTCAACAAAAGACTGTCTACAATTTTACAAAAAGTCTGACATCCTATATCTGAAAAGTAAGGCTGACTTTCAAGTGTCATTCAAAGTGGATGCACCTCGTGAAGTTACTTGCTTCCATTTGTCAATTGCACCTACTGCCCTATAGTATAATGCATACATTACTGAAATCTCGCTAATTATCGAAAACCTTCACACCCTACAGCCGGAGGTTAGGCGCCTGCTTGACATGGTAGAGTGCACCAACTCCGATCTGGCTCCTCTGCTGCCACACTGGCTGGGCAAATGGCTGCTCTGTGAGAGCCTGAAGGACGCTCAAGACGCAAGCCGCCGGCACAAGGTCAACTGCGTCACTCTTGAAGGTCAGCGTTTGCGATTTCACTTCGCGGTACACTCAGTTTTCTTCATTCTCCAGTGCTGCCTTCTGCCATTTTGGTAGGGGCAGGGGTAACCGTTTTCATCAGAACAAAAGCCTGGGAAATTTTTTTGGTGCATTTTGCGGCTTTTCAGCTAGGGGAAGGGCACTAATGCCGTGGCATCGTGAAAAAGGCAGATTTGCATCTGTGCAGAGTGTGTGTGCAGGTTGTTTTCGTGGAGGTACCTCTTTTCCTTTCACACCTGCAGTCCGAGCGACGGTCTGCTCACATTCCAAGTGAGGTCAGCCAGCTTCGAAAAGGCACACTGCAGCAGTGTACTGTTGTGCTTCTAAGCTCAAGGGCCGCATAATCATATTTGATGATAGCTTGTAAAACTCGAACAATTATTATTAGCTGTAAACGGTCGATGGTAAGGCTAGCATATAATTCAGCAGAAGGCACCTCTTCTGTACAGTGCATCACTCCTGGGGGCAACTTTTGGGTTGTAGATAACGCAGCCATTACTCTTTGCACCAGGGATCACCGACTCGCTGTGCCCAAGGAAATTCATGGATTTGGGGGGTGTGGGCCAATAATGCATGTCATTCATAAAGCCACTAGGCCAAGTGTAGTTAAAGGCAGTTAGTAAAATACAGTGAATGATGACTAGTTCGTGAAGCATTGTGACCTAGCTTGGGGCAGCACAAAATACACAAAGGAGACTCATGTGTGGTTCTTGTGTTCCTTTTTCTGCACCCTTGTCTTTTGCACCGTCCTCTTGGCAGAGGACTCAGCAACTTCAGTGTAAAGCATCCCGCATAGTTGATGTGATCTATTAGGCTCTACGCTCTTGAGCAAATAATGTATTTTGGGAAACTGTGGAATTTTTTGTGAATTCTGATCACATTCCTAATGTATGCAACTTTTTATACACATTGTTACACGACATCGGCAACGAAAGAGCATCATAGACGACGAAGACAATGAAAGCGACCGTGCTCGTGTTGTTGTTGCTGCTGTTCTTCCATCTTGGCTGCAGCTGCCTCTGATTCTCCCTGTATATTTTGTAAATATATTTATTTCATTCATTCTCTCACCCCTGTGACATTTGGTGGAGGTGCGGGGTTCAACACGATATAACGGAGGTCCACAGTGGCCGACGCTTGGATTTTTCCACCGTGGCAGACCAGGGACTGGCTCCCACCGAGGCGACTACAACAACAACTGTTGTCCTTCCACAGCCAAAAGATCCTGGCACGTTCTGTGGCATGGATGATGTCGACATCGAAGAATGGTTGCCGTTGTACGAACGTACAAGTAAGAATTACCGCTGGGATGAAACTCTTATGTTAGCCAATATCCTGTTCTACTTGAAAGGAACAGCAAAAGTGTGGTTCGAGAACCACGAAGATGAAATTGAAAGCTGGAATGTGTGCGAAGAAAAGATTCGCGCCCTTTTCGGCAAGTCTGTGGGTAGAAAGGCAGCGGCCAAGGAGGAGTTGGCATCTTGTGCGCAAACGTCATCAGAGTCCTACGTGACTTACATACAGGACGTGCTTGCCCTTTGCCGAAAAGCGGACAACAGTATGGAAGAAACCGAAAAAGTAGCTCACATATTGAAAGGCATCGCAGATGATGCATTCAACCTTCTCATATGCATGGACTGCAACACGGTCGATGCCATCATCAAGGAGTGCCAGCGTTTTGAGGCCGCAAAAAGTCGACGTATCGCCCAGAATTTCATTCGACTACTAAACACAGCAGCAACCTGGTCGTGTGAAGACAGGCCTGCGCTACAGACAACTGCAGAGCACATGACCAAGATCATCAGACGTGAACTTGAAGCTCTGTCTCCCGCGTCCACGTGCTCCCATGCCTGTGACTCTAGCCCTCAGATGGTTCCACTGGTACATGCCATTGTGCGACAAGAGCTTTCCAATGCTGGACTGGCCTCCGAGTGCACTACAGCTCCCTCTCAGCCAATCAACTGTCGTCGACCCCCTGTTTTGAATGCCCAAAGCCAAGTCCTTCTGACGCGCCCTCGCAATCCAGCCAAGTGGATGACTGCTAACGATCGCCCCGATTTGTTTCAACTGCCACCGTATCGGACACGTGGCTCGCCATTGTAACACTCGGTGGTATTGGCATCAGGTATCCTATGGGTGCCCCCATCTGCCAGAGAGGGATCATGGACACTTTCAAACTTTACCAGGAGTCACCTCAGGCCACCAGTGAAGACGTTCCTTCTATGCCGCCATATCGTCATCGCTCTCCATCTCCGCATGCTCACCAGTCCCGTTCACCGCTCTCCCGTCGCCCATCATCTCGCTCGCCCTAATTTCGCCGACCAACATCGCCGACTGACCACCTGCCGCGGGAAAACTAGATGATGCAGCTCCCAGAGGTGATGCTGCATCGACCACTTGCCCGCCAAATTCTCTGACCATGCTGTCGACTTGACGCAACCTTATTGACGTCGAAGTAGATGACACACCTGTTGTTGCACTTGTGGACACAGGGGCTCACATATCAGTGATGAATTCAGAACTTCATTGCCGCCTTAGGAAAGTTTTAAGGCCACCCACAATGCCACTCATCCAAGTCGCCGGCAGCGGCACGTTTCCCATGCTTGGAATGTGCTCCGCGCGTATAAGCGTGGCTGATCGCTCCACGACAGTGCTATTTGCTGTACTCGAGAAATGTTCCCATGAACTTATCCTCGGCATGGACTTTTTATCCGCCCACTCTGCCCTTATTGATTGTGGAACCGGCATGCTTCAACTTGATTTACCGTGTTACCATGACGACCCAACACCAGCTCAACCCCGTCTGTGTTCTGCAGATCACGTTTGCCTAGCATCTCAAGCCGTTACTTACGTGAACCTGAGATCTGTCCCTCCTGTTCCCTATGGTGACTACATGTTGACACCTATTGCTGACGTTCTGCTGGCCAAAAATGTTGCCGTGCCTCACACACTTTTGACACTCACGGGAAATACAGCATCTCTTCCGATCCTAAACTTCAGCTGGTGCGCTCAAGTTATCCGAGATGGTATGACTTTGGCAAAAGTTTTTTTCTATAGATGCTGCCATTTCGGCATTCGTTGCCGAATCTTCTTCGTCCTCTGCTCCATTTTTATCCTCAAAGAGCGCAGCGGATGCCACCATCGACAAGATGATCGCTCCAGACCTTCTTCCAGTACAGACAGCTGATATCCGGCATCTGCTGAAATCCTACCGCGACATCTTTGATTTTGATGACCGCCCTTTGGGTCAGACATCCTTTGTTACTCATAGGATTAACACTGGAGATGCCAGCCCCATCCGACGACGTCCTTATCGCATGTCTAATGCTGAGCGACAAGTTATCCAGCACGAAGTTGAAGAAATGCTCACAAAAGACGCCATCGAACCTTCCTGCAGTCCATGGGCATTGCCGGTCTTGCTAGTTAAAAAGTAGGATGGCAGCTGGCGCATCCGCGTAGACTACCGTCGCTTAAATAAAGTAACACGTAAGGACGTGTATCCACTGCCGCGGATTGGTGATGCTCTCGACTGCCTACATGGGTCTGCCTACTTTTCATCTATCGACTTGCGATCAGGATACTGGCAGATTTCTGTCGATCATCGAGACCGTGAGAAAACCGCATTCATCACACCGGATGGACTTTTCCAGTTCAAGGTTATGCCATTCGGATTGTGTAATGCGCCAGCTACATTTGAAAGGATGATGGACTCTCTCCTGTGTGGATACAAATGGACCACGTGCCTGTGCTATCTCGATAACGTCACCCTATTTTCACCTACATTCGAAAGCCACCTTAGCCGCCTAACGGCTGTTCTTGAGGTTTTCCAGAAAGCAGTACTTCAGCTCAACTCTTCCAAATGTCGCTTTGGCCGTCGGGAAATCACTGTGCTGGGCCACCTTGTCAGTGCTCGAGGCGTGCAACCTGATCCTGAAAAAATTCGAGTTGTCAAGATTTTCCCATACCACGTTCCGCAAAAGATGTACGGAGTTTTATCGGCCTTTGTTCTTACTTTCAACGTTTCGTGAAGAATTTTGCTGACATTGCCCGACCACTTACGGAGCTACTGAAGAAGGATATGCCTTTTTATTGGGGTACTGACCAAGCAACTGCCTTCAGCACCCTTACAACATTACTTACTTCCCCACCCATCTTGGCCAATTTCGACTCATAAGCCCATACTGAAGTTCGTACCGATGCCAGCGGACATAGAATTGGTGCTGTTCTCGCCCAGCGGCAACGAAGACAGGATGGCGTCATTGCTTATGCCAGTCGCCTCCTTTCTCCTTCGGAGAGCAAGTTTTCCATTACAGAGCGTGAGTGCCTCGCACTAGTCTGGGCAGTCAGAAAATTTCGACCATACTTGTTTGGCCGCACCTTTTCGGTAATTACAGATCACCATGCCTTGTGCTGGCTGTCGTCTCTTAAAGATCCAACAGGAGGACTTGGCCGTTGGGCCTTGAAACTACAAGAATACAGCTTTGACGTGGCATACAAATCTGGCCTAATGCACCAGGATGCCGACTGTCTATCCCGTCACCCCGTGGACCCGTCACCTTTCAGCACATGATTCTGACCCTTGTGTCTTCTCCATGTCGGCTTTCACCGACATACGCAAGGAACAGCTCAGCGATGTCCACTTGCGGTCTATCATGCAGAGTCTACGCTTGCGCCACGTAGACCCGTTGCTACACTTGTTCGTTCTACGCGATGGCATTCTTTACCGACGCAACACCAGCGCCGAAGGACCAGAGCTACTACTCGTAGTTTCTGCGACACTTCGTTCCGCTGTACTTGAACAGCTTCACGACGCCCCAACCGCGGGACGTCTTGGGGTCACGCGCACGTACGATCGCGTGCAGCGTAGATTCTTCTGGCCGGCCTTTACCGTTCTGTGCGCCGATACGTTGCTGCATGTGAGTCCTGCCAGTGCTCCAAACATTCCACCTTGCCACCAGCTGGTCCGCTCTAACCAATAGACATACCCACCGTTCCCTTCTACCGCGTCGGTCTTGATCTCGTTGGACCATTTCCTACTTCTCTCACTGGAAACAAGTGGATAGCCGTAGCCACTGATTACGCCACAAGATACGCTATCACGCGAGCGCTACCGGCAAGCTGTGCCACTGACGTCGCGGACGTCTTGCTTCATGACGTACTTCTTCACCATGGCACTCCTCGACAGCCGCTGACTGATCGTGGTCGCTCATTTCTTTCAAAAGTAGTAAGTGACATCCTTCGCTCGTGTTCGACGCATCACAAGCTCACTACGGCCTATCACCCACAAACAAATGGTCTTACCGAACGCCTAAATCGAACATTGACAACAATGCTCTCCATGTACGTTTCCAAAGATCACCTTGATTGGGATAGTACATTGCCTTATGTGACATTCGCGTACAATTCGTCACGCCACGACACTGCTGGCTTCTCCCCCTTCTATTTATTGTTCGGCCGCCATCCAGCGTTACCCTTCGAGACTCTTCTCCCATCAACTACGCAAACGGTTACAGAGTACGCCGGGGATGCCACTGCTCGGGCTCAAGTGGCCCGCCAAATCGCACGGGAATGTCTTCTTGGCTCGCAACTCTCTCAGAAGGCCTGCTACGATAGCCATCACAGAGTAATTTCCTACTCTCCAGGTTCATTGGTCCTCATCTGGACACCATGCCACCACGTTGGCCTCTCTTTGAAGCTCCCATCTCGCTACTCGGGGCCTTACAAAGTTTTACGCCGGCTTACCGATGTCACATACGAGATTTCTCCGTTGGACAGTCAGTCATCGTCGTCCGCACCCGCTACTGACGTCGTCCACGTGATCCGCCTCAAACCGTACTTATCCTCATATGATCCTACTCTCCTTTAGGCACCGAGACGACGCTGCCATCAGCGGGGGGTTATATGTTACACGACATCGGCAACGAAAGAGCATCATAGACGATGAAGGTGATGAAAGCGACCGTGCTCGTGTTGTTGTTGCTGCTGTTCTTCCATCTTGGTTGCAGCTGCCTCTGACTCTCCCTGTATATTTTGTAAATATATTTATTTCATTCATTCTCTCACATGAGTGATATTTTTGTTTGCTAATACGTGGCAGCTAGATGATGCTAAAGAGGTTTCTTATTGGTAGAGCTATGATTCCAAAACTAAATCATGTTTTTCGTTTTATTCTTCTATGTTACCGACACAGCTTTCAAGGCACTTTTATTTTATTCCCTTTGACGAATAAAAGGGAATTATGCTTTCTCTCCCTCTTCTTTTCTGTGCAGGTGATATAGTAAGTGCGAAAGGTGCTATGACAGGTGGCTACCGTGACGCCAGGAAAAATGTGTTTGCTGTGTACCAGGAATTTTGTCGGCTTTCTGACGTGCTCCAGTCGGCCGAAGCCGGATTGAGCAACATGCAAGCTGTGTCTCGGAGTATCCTTTACACACAGTAATTGTGTGTTATACATTTTTAGGGAGGCTTTCATGCATTGTGCAGCTGTAAGGTTGAATGCTTCATCAATATTTGCTGTGAATTCACCGGAACACAGTTTTTAACAGAGAAGCTCTTTAAGCTTTTCGTGGCACCGTGTAGTGCCAGCAAAGACTATCGTTGCACTTTTTGTTGCATCAAGTATTGTGAACGTAAATTGCCGTCATAATGTACCGGCATGCGCTCTCCTCATCTTGTGCTACGTTGCCACAACATGTGTGCCAATTTGTCCAGCATGAAACTTAATAACTCTTCCAGCCAAGAGAACAAGTAACGAGAGAAGGGCAAAAAGAAAAAAAAAAAACGGAATAAAGATAGAGAATAAGTTACACAAAAAAAATATATTGAAAAACAAAGCGAGACAGAAAGGAAGATAGAGAGGGACAAAAAGGGAGCGTGTTATAGTCCCAAATAACACAGTAGAGCAAAGAAGTTGGAAAGGAGAGAGAGGAGGGAGAGAGAGTGAGGCATAAAATAGCCATGTATAGTACATTCATGTTATTATGTCAGAAAGGGAAATGGGGTGAGGAGAAAAGAAAGTGTGGAGCATGGCATAGTCATGTATAATGTAGTATACACGAGAAGAGGATGCCATGTACAGCGCGCAGTATACGAATTGGCGGGAAAGGGAACTGAGAGTAAGGAGAGAGAGGAGTAGGAGGAAAGGAAGAAGTAATGCGTAGCCGTACGTAGTATTGTACAGCACTGTGTAGGAGAGAGAAGCGAGGAACGGATGCCTCAGTTTTCACATCACTAGTCTGTAGCTGCCCCAATTTCTTTTATGCAAAAATTGAAATCGTGGCTGAGCATTATCGTCCTTAACAGCCAAAAGACCTCGGCAGTGAAGCCTCTAAGCTGCACTGCAAGGTCCAACAACTGCAGCTGAATATCCTGCAGAACACGTAAGTTGATATTACTCCCTGCTGCAAGCATATTGAAATCAAGCTTGGCTAAAATAATGTAAGAGTGGATTAGTTTCGCAGTTGAAATGAGAATGCCACTAGTGTTCTTGTTTGTTGACACAGTGGAGTTCCTCTTCGGAATGCTGTACATATAGAAAAAACAAAAGGCAAGGGGGAAGGGGGGGTCTCCAATAAAGTTTTATAGAGTGGTGATAAGCAATATATAAACATATATACCAATGCAATATATGCACCTCCCTATCATTATCACTTTTAAATTATTGACTCATTGATTTATTCTTTTTACATGCCCTGAATTGCCAGACTATTCCAGAGGGAAAGGCATACATACAAGCAGCCCATATGGGCTAGCTCCCCCTCCCCCCAAAAACAAAGAGCACAGTATAAGCAGTGTAGTTAAAGGGGTACTGACACCATTTTTCAAAGGTGAGCTGATTCTGCCATTTAAATATCCTGCATACAGAGAGAGCTCTGAGCAAATGTGAAGCTAAGCAAATGCTGATAAGATATTTTATTTTCATGTTAAAGTAACTTTTCCCATTGCACACTTACCGACATCGACACTAGCTCAACATCAGGCTATATAGTATAAGTTCTGTTGACTTCACGCAGCAGTCTGGCTAGTTTTCATGTCAGGTATCAAAACTTTCAAAATGGCCACCAGTGAGTCACCAATGGAGCTATAGTGCGGAGCGGCTTTGGAAACATCACGACATCTTGTGCGAGCATGTGATGAGAGGCTTATACCGTGTGTGCGATGTCAGCGTACAGTAGGAACTGAAACTAGCTTTTGAAAACATACTGAAATTGCTGTTTGAAGGTGCAATCACACTTAGCAGAACGTTCTATAGGCTCTTGAGGACTTGGCCTTTCGTTTGCATGATGCAAAAAAAAAAAACGATTACTGAACATTTTCATGTCGGTACCCCTTAACATATAACAAGTAGCATCGAAGAGCTTTGTTTTGACCATTAAAATATAATTTATTTACTCAGGAGTGCCATTTCAAGCACTGAATCAAAGCTGACTTCTCTTCAGTCTCGCGTGTCTCAAATTGAAGAGGGCATCGAAGCAAAGGTAAGATTATTGAAATGCTCTAGAGTTTTACGTTCGCTGTGACAATGAACTCCTTGTGTCATAATTTGTTATACATGCAACATTTTTAAGCTTTCAAGCTCCAAGCTTAGAGCTTCTTATAGGGTATACCAACATGAGATTATCGATTTTCTATACACTAGCACTTGACCTGTTTAAATTGCAGATATTATACTGGCAAGCACCTGAGCACAATAAGTAATTTACTAAAATAGCACATGTTTCTTTAGGCCAGTTTCGCTGCTGAGTATGCAGCTGTATATCAGGTTCACTATGTCTTCAGGCAGAAAAACTTTTGCAGTATAATAAAAGTGCATTATATAATTGTTTCACTGTTAAAATAAACTCCTTATAATGCGAGCTGTCTTACAAAGTCACCTAAGAAGATTTTTACAGTGTCCTATGCCCTCCCAGCATATGGGTAAAAAACTAGCGCTATAAATATTGCATGTTTCAGATTTACTTTGCTTTTTTTACTTCGTGTTATGAAGTTGCTTACAAGCCGGGAGCTTGTAAACAACTTCATAACTACTTGAGTGCAGTGCTGCAAGATCAATGCTGATTTGTGATAGCAGCTTAGGTTGATGAGAAATTCTTGTCGACAATACGTGTTTCAATGCATTGTAGATAGCATGTAATGCGGAATGTTTTTCTCTAGTAATCTTTCTGCATAATTGCATAGTAGGTCATTGCATCTTGAATACAGGACATTTAAATTTATGCACCTGCTTTGTACGATGGTCCACTTGCTTCGCCTAACATTTTCAAACCCACTGCCATGTTATCAAAGGGTGTGTCCCAATTGCTCACCGTTATGCGCACAGTAGATAGCCTAATAGACGGCTAAGTGGACAGTGGCCATCTTAAGGCCCAATTTAATTCTCACATAGACCGCTAAGTGAACAGATTCAAGAAGACTGCACCAGACACAAATACAATGAAGGCTATTTTGCTCTCCAAACTAGAGGGCAGCTCAGCGAAATGTGCAGATAGCTTTGATTTCGCTGCAATGGCTATCTGCGCACAATCAGATACGTTTCGAAGTGCTCGATGTAAACTACGTTCAATATTTCACAGAAAAGAAGCTAAAGGATTAACAATTATGTTTGCTTTACATATCTTTTTCTTGCTGATGCAAGCTGGCGTCATGTCGCACAGATCTCATCCAGACGCTTTCCATTACTCACACGACTTGGGCTCAGTGCTGTGTTCTAAGCTGTCAGTGCCGGCATTGCTGTTTTCTGAGTTGTCAGCTTTCTGCAGTGCTGTCTAGAACTGGAACACAGCCAGAGCACCTCGCACATCAAGTGTTTAAAATGCTGCCTCAAATAAGATCTTGCAAGTGCTTATGGCAATCTCAATCTGCCGTGCGTTTTCCAGGAAGAAGCGTTGCGGGAACGCCGGCGTCTGGCTGACAGCTATGCCAATCAGAAAATGTCTCTGCTGAAAGAGCGATCGTGTGGCCGCACAGAGCAGCTCACACCCAACGCTGAGCAGCAGCTGTTTGACAACACGCGGAAGATCCAGAAACTTCGCAGAAAGCTCCAGGAAGTAACTGCCGACAAGATGAAGGTGCGTGCTCCCCAGCTTTTTTCGATTGAACTGCCGCTGCGACGTTCACTTGAAGGTGAAACGAGATATTGAGCCATGCTCCCAACTAGGGCTGCAGAAACAGACCTCTCTTCCTCCTCAAGCTGAAGAGAAGCTGCAATGACGTTCAAACTTTGCTCGACAGTTATTGGATGACAAACCAAGGAACGCACGACCGTAGAACTTTTTCATATGTTTGCCCTACGTAATAGCGGATCTTTGAATATTTCTAGGAATTGACCAGGATAAAAAACTGAGCTATCTTGAAGGTCCTTTTTAGTTATGTGCAGCGCATCACGAAAAAATCGAAAGCCCTTCCTTTAGGGGGATAATGGGAGCAAGCTAAGCTGTGATTGTGTGTGCCTGGCAAACTACTTTTTTTTTCTTTCTATTGCATTGTGCTATGCTCTCTCCTAACTTTTTGCTTCCTCCGTGCCAAGATTCGACCTTCATCTACAAGCTTAGTTGTGCAACACTTCCGTCGTTACAAGCGACAGAGACGATCATGCATTCACGTCCAGGCAACAATGAAATGCAGTGTAGAATGACAGGTCACCCAATAAAAGATTGACTACCATATCGGAAAAAAGCTGATCACCGACATGCCCACGATAGAGAGGACATCAATAACTGGAGGAAAGATGCATACATATATGCATGCTGATCGCTGGGTTTTTGGTACACCACGACAACATCATTGCCGAAATTTGTAACTCATTACAAGCTTTGCTTGAAAAAAAATATGAAGCACGAAATATAGCAAAGAAAGGTATGCATTTGCATGTGGCACGTGCTCTGCATCAATCGTTGTCAGTTTTCAAGTTTTCCATGAAGCGTTGCAACACAACCAAAGGTCATTCAATACGACTTGTATTGTTACTATTTTCTGCATTCCTCCTCACCCCAATTTTTTTTTTATTTAGCTCATTCAAAAGAAAGATCATCACGAATCCTTGCTGAGCAACTGCTTAGCTCCTGGCATTCAAAGTCTACAAAAAGTAAGTGTGTCTATCTTTCTTGAGATGGGAAGATGAACCTCCATCTAAAATATTCAAGCTGATTGGATGTATTAACGCTTACACTGTAAAAATAGGATCCGACGAAATCTTATCTTTACTTATTGTTTGCTGTTGCTCCTTCTTTTTTTTTTTTTTACTAATACCTCTCCCTAATGCTTTTGGTCTTAAGGGTATCAGTAAATGAAATGGAATGAAGTGAAATTATTGGCAGATGCAAGGTATTCTCAGGAATATTTTAAATATTCAAGTTCTAAATTGTAACTATATTTGTTACCAACACTGCAGTTTAGCTTTTTCCACGAAGGCACAACAAGTTTAATTTCAGTTTGTCCGCCACTCGTCTAACGAAAAAAACTTTTTGTTTCGCATGTAGCAGTAGGTACATACTCGGCTTTAAGCTCACACTTCTTCTGAATGCATGTGGCTGGTATTACCAACAGCAGCCTGCACGTGGTTAAAATATGACTGCTATGGGGGACCTGCGCTGGATAGGTGGCGCCCCGAAAAAAAGCACCTGGCGGAGAGTCTCGACACAGCTCGGCTGCTCGCGCCCAGACGACCGGCCGCAGTGTACCACTCTGAGAGCACGCTCGTGCGCCGCTGCTGCGCTTCATTTTGGAACGCACAACTCGAAAAGCCATTGCGCCAGTAATACTGCACTGTGGTTTAGAAAAATAACTTTTTCCGAAGGCTACTCTCACATAAAAAGCACTAAAGAATGGAGAGAAGCCCTGCAAAGTGGACTGTGTCTATGCATATAGTATCGAAGAGACAGTGCTGTGCCATGATGGCAGCTCCCTCATCTTCATTTTCTGGTTTCGTGCTCGGTTTTGGGCTAATGCCGGTACTGGCTGACATGCCCCCATTCATAAGTCCATGCTGCGACGATACCACGCTGCCAACATCTGCAGTAAAAGAAAACAAAAGCAGTGTAAGTGGTAGCTGCGTCTTTTTTTTTTTTTCTGGCATCGTTTGTATGCCCTGTCCGCGATATGTATGCATGCGGACGTTGATCAAGCAAACTACCGTGGCAGCATAGCATATGTGGTGCCGCACTACTATTCTTGAGGGCGCGGAATAGATTGGCGACCACGGCGGCCGCACTTCGATGGGGGTGAAATATAAAAAGAACACCTAATAAACCAAGATATATGTGTGCATTGGAGAATCCGAAGTGGTCACAATCTCGATATGCACACTATACAGAGTACCTAAAAAATTGTATTTTGTTTGGCACATGAAAGCCTTGCAATTATCAATGTTCAACAGACATCTTCATTTTAGGCTGACACAGGCAAGTGGGAAAACTGAAACTGTTGTTAGGCGAACTAAAAAATGAGTGAAAAGTTAAAAAAATTTGATACTTCTCTAGAAAGGCATAAATTTCGATGTTACTTAGCCACGGCAGCCAGTGAGCAAAATGCTTATTGCATCAGCTGACTCCAGAAAACTAAGCTTCGAGTAGTCTACTGCTTTGTTTGAAACAAGAGCCTTGTCTTTTGCACAAATTAAGTTAAACAGAGGCATTTCTGCATCGAGTATCCACCGCGAGATATCTTTTATAACAGCTCAGAGGCGTAGGTGAACGTGGCCCCGCACAAGTCTTGTGGACAAGGCAGCTTTTCTTTACACAAGACTGTTTACAAAAAAAAAAAAAAAAAGACTACCTGCTTACCATATCATTCACTTCACGCGGTGGTGGTGGTCAGATGGATGGATGCATAAAAACTTTTTTAGTCCTGATGTGCACGACTCAACGCTCAGCGGCCACATTAAAAAAAAAAGTTTACATAGGCCGTATGTTGCATAATACGCTCGTTTTATTTCCGGCGAAACGCCGTTCAAACTCTACTCATTGACCCTGGTTTCCACTGGTGGCTGTCTTCACTATTGAATAAATATAAAAGACACGCGCCTTTCAGTTTAGAAACGAGCTCGACAGCACTAGACAGGAGAGCGAGAGCAGAATTTTGCTCGCCTGACCGCTTGGATGCAACGCCGTCTCTTCTTTCTACGTTCGCCCTCTTTTTATATATGGCTGCACCAAAATACGCAGTAGTACCGCCAGTGCCCTTTGGTTTTGTCATGGCGCTGCACGCACACACCACCTCTATTAGCCGCCACTCTAGTCTGCGGGAGCAGCTGAGAAGTACGCGCTCTCACCACGAGGGTGGTCGTGGAAACTCCAGCGCTGGTTCCCTATAATAGTACCTACTTTTCGTTCATGGTTAACTGGTTCATTTTTGCTCATTAATTTTCACACCAAATTCGAACTGGACTGTCTTGTAGGAAAGGGAAACCCTTGAAGACAAGAAGGCAGCTCTGGAAAGGGAGCTTGAGCTGTCAAAGACAAGACTGGCTGCCTTCAATGAAACAACAAAGGCATTACGAAGCCAAATAGCTGGTAGGTTTATCAGCTTTAACGAGTTGCATTCAATATGAATTTGAAGAGCTGTACATCATTCTTATAACTGGTAGTATTTGAACTGGTGTTAGATTCATATCTCCATGCCATTACACAGTCTTGATGAGAAGTGCCTTTAACTGCATGCCCCATGTTGCAACTCATATTGCAAGTGACCTTACACAATGTATTTTCTCGCATACAACCTACGAACTTTATGCAGAAAATTCCTAGCTGAAATCTAGATGTAGGTTGTACTAAGCAAATTTCACTGTAAAAGATGGCTTTGTGGCACTGCTTCACCGTAATGCAAAAGAGGGCAGATTCATGGCCATACGCAGGGGTCTTCCTTTCTTAAAAATATTTTAGGAGCTTGCTCAGCAATCTTCTTACGCTCGCTCCCTGTCCGGCGGCGCCGGTGTGTACATCAATGTTGGCAGTGTACACTTCTTCAGTCACCACTGAAGGCTGCCGCTGCGGTCACCTCTCCAGTGATTCCAACAATGCTCACTAGATGGCCCACCGCCACCCAAGTTATCTGTTTTCGACAGCCCGCGAACTCTCCTTCTCGCGACTACGTCCATTTCGTTCTCGTCGCTTAACAGGCACGGTAGCACGTGAGGAGTTCCTATGATGAGTGTCACGCACGGGTATCGTTATCTCCCAAGCCCCCTCGCCTGCCTGCTCAGGAGCCTGTTATGCCTGATAGCTCCACGTCTGCCATTTATGAGTGTTAGGCATTTGACTCACTGCAGCGGCCAGTATGGCATAAAGGGGCAGGTGGTTAACATGCCGATCGACGTGGCCAACACTCTGCAGTGCCCGACCACGCTGCCTTCGGCGTACACATCATGCGCCGGTTCATTCACAAGCCTTCCTACAGAAATGGTCTCGCCAAGAAGCGTCCCGTGCACCTCTGAGCAAGCTCCTCTAACATCATTCACTTTGTGGATATGGCGGTGATATTTTTTTTTAAGATTTGTTGTTGGGGCTATGGTTTACATAAAAAAACTAGTTTTATATGAGAAAATACATAGTCAAATGAAACAACGGGCTGGTCAAGAGTCAAAGGAAACAGATGCAGACAAGACATGCCCATGTTATTCTTTTTTTTTTTTTTTTTTGATGATCGTGAGTCTTGATGGTCGTTGCGCAGCATAAGTGTACAGCAACTATCTTGAACTCAAGATCATTCTTTCTTATAATTATTTTAAAAGTTCACATGAAAAAGACTTTCCTTTTGCAAATTTTTGTGTGCTTGCTCAAACTGATGCAAGACCTAAGCACATACCCATGCCCTCGTGTTGGTAACTTTTGTCATTGAATCTCATTAGGATGATGAGTGTGGTCACATGCTGACGTTCCAAAGGAAATTGCATTGCATATGTGTATATTTAACATCATAAGCAACATAGACAATGGTATATCTGTAAGTAGTATCAGACAGCAGACAAGATAGTTCATCATGTCGCTAGCATATACACAGTTAGATCTTATTTTAATAAAATGGATTATAACCAACTAGTTGGAAAACAATGTAATAGTGTTTCCCTTTCGAACTGCCATAGCACTTTATAGGTTCAGAGGGTTAATGCGACAAGTACTAACAGCAACATTCAGATGCGCCCGCAACAGGAGATATGCAAAAAGTTGTGTATTCTCTCCTATCTATAGGCTGAACACGCAACTTTCAATGAAAAGTCTCAGCATGTGATATCTCAGGAGGGTTACGCATTATTTCTGCAAGGTTTTGCAGGCCAAAACTACATTACAATCACGGGTCTTGCCATAGTGGAAAATTAACTGGCACTACTCTTAAGACAAGGACGAAAAACACGAGACACAGACAAGTACACTTACGGGTCATGCATTAATAAAACGGAAATTTGCCATGGGGCCATTGGCCTGTCGACTTTTGTCGACAGGAATATGTGTGCTTTGTCCAACTGCTGAATGAAAGTATTACGGGAAACTTTCAGAGCTTGAAAGCGATTCCAATGCCACATCTCGGATATACGAACTGGAGCGAACTGTTCAAGAAATGTCTGAAGAGAAAGCACGCAGTGAAGAAGACTTGCAAGCTGCATCGAAAGAAATGGCGATTCTTCTACTAAAGCGGACAAATGCAAAGGCTACGGTGCGTATAGCAAGTTATTCATGGTTGGTGCTCTCTAATCAATTGTTGCTGCACTGTACTTAACTGGCATGTCATTACCATGCAGAACTTTGCTTTGACAATTCTTTTTCACAGCTTACCCGTACTGTGGTGCCCTTCTAGCAGCATTGCATAAATTAGAACTTGTGCATGGTAAGGCATCTTTGTGATGGAACACTTCAAGTGAGGAAAGATTGGACAGACTGGAAAGTCTTGCTTTTTGTGCCCATCTATCTGTCTCGCTAACAGAACTTTGTTCTCATGATGTTTCACTTTCCTTGTTTGGTTTCTTAAAAATGACCGGCAAGATGCAGAAAAAATGACTACTGTGCAGTGTCGATTTACCAAACACGTAGCCAGAAATTTTTTTCACAGAGGAGGGGGGGCATAACCTTGATTTCGGGAGGCTGCCTTTTAAGATGGCCATTTTTCACTCTCTATGCAAGGGCGAAAAAAAATTTGGGGGGAGGGAGGGCACATGCTCGGTTTGCTAATTCCTGGCCATGCCCCTGTGATTCACCACTGACGTAAATGATGTTTCTAACTATATATGTCTCTGAAGGAAAGAAATTCCTCAAAATAAATTCACGAAAGGAATGCTTCAGCCCTATAATATTTTTCATTGATCTTGCCGTACGTCGTCCTCCTGTGTAGTCATATGGCATTGAACTCACTGAATTAATTTAGTTGGATAAATTGTTGTTCAAGAACTCTGTTGCACTTGACTTCCAGTCCATAGTTTAATTGTTAAAGGAAAAGCTAAAGCTCGGTGTCTCATTTCTAAATTTCTCACTGAAACACTGCTGTCTCAGAATTTCTGTGACGTCACTTTATTGAAATGTCTTTTTTTTTTTCATATTTTGGTCACATTCGTTAAATGAAATTTCTCTGGACTTGCCAAGTTGAGTGGTTGGCTCCCTCAGAACACATCTTCATTCACTTTGTCAATGCAATTAACTCATTTCTTTTCACTGCGAACATAAATAGAGACACAAGTTTTAATGTAGTACGGGCGATGCATACACGTCAAGCAACGTGTATGCATCGTCCTTCATGTGTATGCTGTTACAAATGGTTCGCCTAGTAGAGAGGCCCAAAGTGAATTTAGTGTTGTTAATTTTCTCTTTCTGCCATGCCAATCTGCAGCTAAAAGAAATCAAGAAGAAGGCCTCCATGTTCGGCATCGTCTCCAAGAATTTGAACACATACCGCAGCATGGGGCAGTCCGAGGTATGCAAGTGGCACCAATACACCCAGTGTCTAACCTTTGGTTGTTGGCTTTTACTCACACTTTCGAGATTCAAGCATCGTAGGTTGCATTCCGTACAAATTAAATGTAACTGCATAAACTTACTAATCTTATTTCCCACTCACCTACTGAAAACTATATTGAATTTCATCCATAACCTTAAAGAGGCTTTGCAGCACTATTCCGAGTAGTCATAGAAAGGCTTTGTAGAAGAAGTTTCGCCAAAAGAACAACTTGAAACTGTGCTCCTAGTGCAAAGCAGTGTCGTTATGTTAGCGCATTTTCTAAGCTTGTGCAAATATTGAACTTCAGGTTCGATGCAAATAGTGATTTGGTTCAAATACCTAGAACCAAATTTGAATAGTAGTATATATCACATAAAAAATATTATGAAGAAAAATGAGCATATTTTTTCTGACCCAACTAGCCTGCCCAATATACATATATATTTTTTTCATATTGAAGCAAAGCATGTGAAAATGTCACTTTGTGTTTGTTTGAAGAAAGTGGAAGGAACATAGAATTGTAGGAGGACTTTATTTTTGGCAGAATGCCGAAAATAAAGTCTTCCTGCATTTCGGCAGAATGCCGAAAATAAAGTGTACAACACTAGAGCACAAAAGCTGGCATAAAAAGCTTTTAAACTTAAAAAAATTATAGTTTGATGCGAGGGTACTATAATCATTTAACCTTCAGGTGAGGCTACAAGGCCGGCTGTGTTTTTTTTTAAAGATGTATTCATAAAATCGGTTCGATTCACCTGCACCAACCCAAACTGGTTCGCAGCTGTGCACGTGAAGTTCACAAATTGTGCAGCGCGACTTCAGTGGTGCAGGCACAGTGCGACACCCGAAACGAGTGACGATGTGCCAAAAAGATGCTGGGCTTATTTATGTTTGCTTAGTTTACATCGTTCAGCAAACACTGACCGATATAAAACAACACATGCATACAGTTTATGAGGTGCAAACATCTTCACAAGACACGCTGCATTAGTGGAGGCGAGTATGGCGCTTACGGCAAAGTGCTGCGTCGTCTGCTCAGCTGCACACATGGCTGCACCAAGCCGGCACCATCAGCGTAGGAGGTGCAAGAAAAACGTGAACCAGTGCTGCACCTCTTTTGCACCTTTCAAAATAAATGGTAGGGTTCAGAGGTCATCAATACTGCACCACTGAAATGAATGGCAAGGTGCAGCGCCTTGTGAACTGGTTCATGTGGTGCAGGCGAATCGAATGGACCTATAGTGTAGCACTTCTCCACTGAAGAGAACCCACCTTCACAAGAGGTTACATGTGGACTTGTATTCATCTCTTTGTTTAGAATTTTTTGAAACTTCCAATTATTCAAATTTAAATCAAAGCAAATCAGAACACGTTAATATTCGTTCAAATATTTGAAGCGCTCGAATATTGACGCAAGCCTAGTGTTTTCTTATTAAATAAACTTGGTGTTTGTTCGCAAGCGATGCGGCCTCTTAATTTATGGCAGCATGTATAAGGTTCAGTATTACAAAGATGGTAGTGGTAGTAAAACTTTATACACCCAAAAAACGGTCCCGCAAAACACCCAACTGCTCATCAAGGTTCAAAGGGCACTTTCCACATCGGGACAGGGAGCCTTAGTCTCACCGCTGCTTCGCGGGCCTTCTAGACAGCCCAGAAACGGTGATGTTGTCATGTACATCATTGGATACGAGCGCATGGAATATTCAGAGTGGTCACATTTCCTTGGAACTACCATATTTAATGCATTTTTTTGTTGTCCTTAGCCAGAAATGGTGAAACGCTGATGGGTTGTTGCAAGATGGCCAGACGTAACATCTGCACTTCAATTTCGTTTAGCTAAGCATTCTATTTCTGTCGAGTTTAGATTCTATGTGTCTTGAAATCATGGCAGCAGGCTAGAGGTCAAAAGTTTAAGTACTATATCTATAAAGTGGGCATATGACTCAAACGAATGAGATTTTCAAAACGTGCGATGTGATATTTTGTGGCTGCATCACTTGTGCTTTTTTCCATATCCTGCTTATAGTGACATAAATAAAGTGGAAAGGAATGACAGGATAGTTAATGCATGCATTTAGACACGTTTCAGATGTATTCCTCAGAACATTTAGCTTGTTTCGGTCTCTCTTTAGAGGAGCCTAACTGCATATTAAATTTTTATTCAAGGTGCCAAATGTTTGTTTACCGATGGCTCAAAGTATTTATTGCTGCTGAAAATTGTTTAATTACTCGTCGCGGGAAACCTTAAACAATGCAATTTCGACACTTGCACTTGTTTCATTGAGTAGCTTGGCCAGTGTAGCGATTTCGCGTGAAATGGCACCGGTCCGAATTCCTGCGGCCACTCCGCAGCTCGATCACGAACGGCAGCGTCTGCAGAGGAGGATTGACAGGATGAACCCACCTGACCTCCTGGCTGGCAGACTTCATGACCAAGCCTCCAAGATGCTGAATGAGGTGCAAAAGGGTCTGGAGGATGTGGACGCAACCCGTAATGTACGTACAGTCACATTGTGTAGAAGCTTGTTCGCTATACAACTCCAGCCATATGCATTCGTTTGTCGTTGGCCTGACTCTACAGTGGCGCATTAAACATTGACGATGAGAACTGTGTGAATTGTCCTTATGTCCTCTCCCCCCCCCCACCTTCCCCCTTTTTTAATTGTTTGTACTGATATTTGTTAGTTGCCAAAGAACGAAGCAATTGTCCCTGCATCAAATGCATTGTGCCAACATAAAAAGATGTTGGACACAGGCTCCAGTTGAAATTCAGAGCCTTTTCTTCTTATTTTGTGCATTCATGTGTGTCTGAGTAGAGGTGAATGCATGTTCACAGCCTTTTTTGTCCACGTATGCAAAATAACAAATGCTTCTGGGTATTGACCAACAAGCATTCACACAGTCAGGCAGCTTTGAGAATACTCCGTAGCTTCACTGTTTTGAAAGCCCTTAACAAGGCTTTCAATTCAAGCTAGTGTTAGTAAAATAAAAAAAGAGTTTTACGGCATTGTTCACATGCAACTGTGCGGTCTCTGTGTCTGTCTAATCACACAGAATCGGCACGTTCACATGCTGGCTATGGGCCAGCGAAGCTAAGCGACTGGCCGAGCCACGTGTTTATGTTTGCATGCCTAGAATATGCTGCTTAATGTGTGCATTTTAGCTTGTGGAAAAAATATTGCGACTGTGAGTGAACAAATGCTTGCTTTTTGGAAGTTGCCTCACTGCGGTTGTATGGTGGTTACGGCGCTCAGCTGCTGACTCAGAGGTCGTGGGATCGAATCCCAGCTGCGGCGGCTGCATTTTCAATGAAAGCAAAAATGCTTGAGGCCTGTGTGCTCAAATTTGGGTGCACCTTAAGAACCCCAGGTGGTCGAAATTTTCGGAGCCCTCCACTGTGGCGTCTCTCATAATCATACGGTGTTTTTGGGACCTTAAACCACACATACTATTACAAAGGTAGGTGAAGCAGACAAAAGCAGGAATAGTTAAAGGAAAAAGGACGCACGGCTGCATTTTGCATCCTTTTTGCCATCTGTGTTTGCACATTTTATCTATCTTTAAAGGCAAAGACCTTACTGCTCTTGCTAAGTGAATTCAGTCACACTGTGGAGTTGTAAGTTAAGATCTTAGATCTAATATCTGTGCATAATACTTGCTCACTAAAGCAGTGTATCTTCATTGGAGTTAAACTAAATTGTGGTGTGTCTATCTTTTCCTTCAAAGGACCTACTTGGTTCTCCTTTATTTATTTATTTTTTGCCCCCCCCCCCCTCACACGCTTTCTATTTTTTTTACCTCCACCACTCTTGAGATGCTCGTTGAATAGTAAAGAAGATGCACAGAGTTCTGCAATCAGTGCCGTTGCTCCGGTGTGAGGCTCGACATAGTGTGGTCAATGCTGGGAGCTAAGATGGCTGCTTGAGACTGTCTGTAGACACCAATATTAGAGCCTCAATTATTGAATTCCCCGTTTTACTTGGCGGTGGCCCTGGGTAACTGTGAAAGCTGTAACTCCAAAGATGTGCCCGACCCGCTGCAGCAACCGTGACCGTAGAAGCCACTCAGTGATTAGCATCAAGTGCACATTGCATCTTCTGCACTGCAGTATTAACAGTACAGTGCTTCAAAAAAGGTTCGTTATCTGGATGCAGGTTCAATAGGTACCTAAGGCAAGAAAATTCAAAGTGAACCGCAATACTGTTGCGAACAATGGCTCGTTATGTCTGAGTTTGAATGTGCCTCTTCAAGTTGTATAGAATTATAACCTTTTGTTTTTTTTACTAAATGCTTTTAAAAACTTAAGTAACGAAGAATTTATTAAAACCCAATTAGTGCTTCATTGTTAGGACATCCACATTGTATTGTCCTTAATGCAGACAGCTGAGGAACTGACAGGCAGCCAAAAGGATCAACAGTTCTGGAACATTGAGTTTACTCTGAAGCAAGTATGCAAACATTTCATGGATTTTTTCAAGAGGTTTGTGCCTAAAGGCCAGGCCATGATGGTGGTCAACACCGAGAAGACAAATAAACAGGTGAGTATCTTGAAATGACTCATTATTGTTTTGTGAATGCAGCTCGCAAGTGAGATCTCATCATGGATTCTCTGCAAGCACCTGTCGTGGCAGCCAAATTGTGCTTACCGTGGCATAAAAAAAAGAATTGCTGACTCACAATGTCATTATTGGCAGTGCTTGCTGGAGCTGACACCGTCTTAACCCTTTAATGCTGAATTGTGAAACTGCTGAACAAAATAAAAATTATTTTCATTTGTCAGCTTTAAGTGGTAACCTATGAATGATTCTGCAGTTAAATTATCTAAATGTAACTTTAATGCATACCTTTATGTATGTCGCAACTTCTCCGTATGCCACAGAAGCGAAGACCTTGCAAGAAAAAACATACTTCATAACTGTGTAACATGTTCTGTGCCACCTCTTGGATGCGTGGACACCAAATAAACAAAATTATTAAATATAGAACCCAAGCAAAAAAGAACAGAGAAGCTGGAGCTGTTGCATGCGTTTCGCGCTGTCCACCACTGTCTACAAAACAATAGACCTCTACCGCGATACGTCACCACGTGACGTCACCCTTGCACATGCAAGGCGGTGATTGGCAAAACACTCCCACCGGTGGCGTGTGGGGCACAGTCGCTTGGTGCTTGGGGCATGTTTTTGTTTCATTTTGAAAGCTTAATCTTCATCTCACAATAGCAACATTAGCTGTGGTATATGTCAGAGAACATTTAGGCATGTGGTAAAGTTCGTGATGAAATATTTGTCACGCTGGCTGACTGTTTATCTTGGAGAAATGAACGCACATGGGGGCCTGTGCGAGGAACAGCGGCATCGTCATCGAAAATAGTGTGCGTTGACAGACATCGACAATATTGGTTCACTTTTACGGACGGTTAAACTGGAAATATTGTGCTTGGTGTGTGCAGTGTGAATAACGCGATGCGTCCTGTTTGCTAAGAAAATAAAGTTTTTTCATTCCATTCCATTCCTGTTTGCTAAGACACTGGTATTCGTAGTGGGCGGGTTGCAGTAACCGGTTGTCGATGGAAATTCACGATCTGACATTTTAGTGAAGGTAAAAATGCATTTGGCGCGATCATCTGCCAGTGGGTACATCTCAGCGTATGCACGGCGTGCAGAAAACTAAAAGTATGTGATCTCCGGGTGATATATACAACTACGCATGAGCTATAAGCATGTTGTAGCATTGCAGAATCTGCATATACGGTTCACCACGGCTATAACTCATATTATCGAATACCTGATACGTGTTAATCGAAACAGCACAGATTTTTGTTTCTTATCCACTTTCTACTTTTACGGCTCGGTTCTTATGAAGTGGCATCAGAAGTTTGTGTATCAAACCTAAAGGAGCAATATAGGTACGAAAACACGTTATAAGTGTCAAATGCAGTAAAATAATATTATATATAATAAAAATGTTGGGTTTTACGTCATATGAATTTTCACTGGGTTATTGAGAAACGCAGAGGCAGAATTTCACTTTAATTTTCACGAGGATATGTTAACCTCAGCCTATCGCACGACGAGAAGTTTTTTTTTTTTCATTCATCTCCGATTAGACTTTTGTTCAATGAGTGAGAATCTTATCCGTGACGTCGCCCACAGCAGCTCAAAACCATGCTGCCGTCAATGCTGTACCTTGTTTAAACCCCCCTCTTTCAAAAGCTGTGACTTTAGAATGTAGCAATGTAGAAATTTCCGTCGAAAGAATGCAATGCAGACATGCAGCTCTGCTATGCAGAAAGATGCCGCCGGCAGAACTTTCTTGCCAACCAGCACCTGCTTCGAGAGAGAGTATGGTGGGCGGGGTGCCCGCAGTGACGTCACACTATTTACAAACAGAGAGAGGTCTATTGGTTCTCGCATAAAATACCTTAGACGAGGCAGCGCTAGATCTTTCACGCTGAGGGCTACATTCCCCATGAGTACTTGGCAGCTGGCATTAAGAACAGTATGCATTTCGGAACTTGCTTGCTTGAAGTTTTTTGGTATGTCGCAAATTCACGACACTCGCAAATATAAGGGTTAAGGGGCCCTGCTACACTCTTCCTAGTAATTATTGGAGAGATTCATTAAAAGGGCTCTGAAACACTTGAAAAAGTAACTATGTCATGAATTCACTGGAAGAGCTTATAGCCTCACGGATTTAACGCAGCAAAAATTCTAAGAATCCGTCCAGTGCGAGTAGAGTTACACAGGTTTGTGGCATGGCTGCAATTGCATTCTCTCTTCTCTCCTTCCGATGAAAGCGCTGGAAGCTAAGCAGGGAAAGATAGCAGGGCCACAGAGAAACGTCACGTACAGTTCGCGACCTTGAGCACTTTTTCTTTCTTTTTTTTTCTGCGAATATGCAGCTTTTTTAGTGTGATCGCAGGCACACGCGTGGACAAGTAGAGGCCTCTTGCGGCGATCTCTGTTATAAGTGAGCGCGCCATGTTCAAATCAGCCAATGGCTGATAGATGGGCCGTTGACATGTGATTTTTGGGCATATAACGTGATTTGTTGAGAGAAGAGAAAGCAATTTTTAGCTGACTTTGATCAATTATTGTGAATGCCAGGCCGCGTGCTGTGCTATATTATTTGGCTCTCGCGTGTTGTCGGGAGCCTCTACTACTTATCTAATACCGAGAAATTGATTTCTCTTCTCTCGACAAATGATGGGGGAAGCTCAAAAATCACTCGTAGAAGGCCTTCTATCAGCCATTGGTCGATTTGAACATGGCGCGCTAGGTCGTTACAGGGATCGTCGCGAAAGGCTGCCACTTGTCCATGCGTGCGCGCGCATTCACACTGAAAAAGCAGCAGACAAAAAGAAAAGATGCTCATGGTGACGATGTGCACGTGACGTATTTTCTTTGTCTACGCCATCCCTCCCTCTTTAGCTTCTAGTGCTTTCGTTGGTACGAGAGAAGAGAGAATGCGATTGCAGCGTGCGACAAATCTTTGCAACTCAGCTCGTTGAGTTCGTGAGGCCATAACCAATTTTAGTGGATCCATTGCATGTTTACTTAAAAGAGGTGTTTCAGGGCCCCTTTAATTCAACGCTGCATCTCCCGCATCTGTACGTGGTCTGTAAAGTGGAGTGGGTAAGAAAAATACTAACCTTAAGAAATGTGTACGTATGGTGCAGCAAACAGGCCTGCAGGGATGGCGTGAGCTGAGTAGGCAATGCGCTGCACACATCTAGTCAGAAGATGATCAGCTCCACATGGCCGTACCAGAGAACACTGTTGTACCGCGTGTTTTTGCTTAGTAGCAGATTTCTATGCAAAAACACACATGTTGGGTAATCCGTTACTCTCCATTCTGTCAGTACATCAGTCACTGCGTATCCCGAACCCCAAACAGTTAAACCCCTGTATAACAGACATGTACCAGGTAGCAGTTCTTGTCTTTTACACGAGGTGTCTCTCATAAGCAGGCTACCACGTATGTATTTTCTTATCAACCTCTATTTCAATGTATGCACACTGATGCCTCTGTACCCATTTGTTTCTTATAACAGTCTCTCTTATGAAATGGTTCAACAGTAATAGTTTTAAATGCTCCATAGCTTCAACCACTACGCTCTATAGCACAGTCAAGTGAGTGCTAGAATCTTTTTTTGCACATCAGCAAAATAAAATGAAAAGGTTTGTGGTGGTTACTTTAGGCAATACAGTAGACTTTTTTTAAACGAAACCTGAAGGGACCACGAAAATGTGTTTCCTTTAAGAGATGTTTCATTTACTGACAGATAGACAGGGGTACAACATCAAAGCACAAAACCAAGCATATTAGTTGCAGTTGTTCCATTTAAGCAGCAATTTCATTTAAGAGAGTTTCATTTAATAGGAGTCTACTGTATTGCTGTTGCATTGTGTCTATTTCTGTGTTGGTGGCAATGGCACACATTAGGAGAAGCCAATATTTGCTTGGTGGTTAATGCGTATTACTGCTTAAGTTAGAGTTGTGGAGTGCTCCTGACAGGTACGTGATAACAAGGTTTCACTGTACATTTAACCCTATTCTTGTTTCATTATTCAGTCATTATTTTTCTACAAACATGAACACAAAGGCAGATGCAAAGCCATATGTAAACAATGTAGGCAGGTGCATCATGGTGAAAATAACAAAAATAATGCGTGCCACTTATTTAAACCTTTTATCTTGGAATTCAGGTTGAGCAGCATGCATGACGTCTCTCGCAGGGGGAAGAGGAACCCGCAAGGCAACAGAGATGCAAAGGCATCGAGTTTCTGGTAACGTGTTTTAAGCATGCATTGTGCCTTTTTTTTTTTTTTTTTTGTTAGACGAGTGATAGTTCAAAGGATATAGGTATGTCATGGTAGATGTGAAGAAAGGTACAAATATAATGTGCCACAATTGTGTTTTTATTTGCCTCCGTGTTGTGTGGCACTTTGACTTCGTGGCATGTAAAAGAACAACATTTAAAATGCCAGGTGTTTAAAGCCGTGGTAGAAAATGTGACATTGTAGACGTACTGGTTGTTGGCACAGGCATCACAGAATGACAATGTTAAATTTGGTCAAATAGAAACGAATGGCTTGAATAGTATATATTACATATTGTAAAAATTAACGAGCACATTTTTTATGATCAAACTAACCCACACAATATTTTTTTAAATTAGAGCAAGGCACATGCGAATATCTTTTGAGTTCGAAGTGAAGTAGAAGCAAGTTTGAGTAATTTCAGTAGGGTACAAGTGATAACTGGTAACAAGTCTTAGAGCAATATCTTACGTTGTAATGCATATAAGCTTATACAACAGGCTTTTAAACTTAAAAATTCATTACGGTAATCCATGTGAGTAAAACATTCCGTTAACATAGATGTGAAACTTTGCGACAGTGCAAATTTTTCTTGAGAGGTGTTTTCATGGCATAGCATTTTTAGACTGCAGTGAAGGCATCTTTACAGGAAATTTACATGTAGTATATTTGTTTATTCTAAATACCTCGATATTTTACATAATTTAAGTTCATGTATGGGCAAATTCAAATCTTTTAATTTAAAGTGCTTGAATCTTCCCACATGACTACTCGGCATAATCTTTATCCTTAATCTCGACGGTCCCTATTCATTTTTGCAACAGGCATCTTTCAGCTCGCGCAGCATTCTCCAGTCTGTGGAGTGCTTCTCTGGGGGCCAGCAGACCGTGGTGGCCCTGTGTTTCATCCTGGCCCTCCAGAAGTGCGATCCCGCACCTTTCTACCTTTTCGATGAAGTGGACGCCTACTTGGATACAGAGCATCGGCAGTGCCTCGCTGGTGAGTGCATCCATCCCGGTTTCTCGCAACGTAACACCATAGACGGGGACAGCACATCTCGGGCAGTGGACAGGCTACAGAATCAGGGATTCCGCATATTCGAGCTACTTCGCAGTACAGCAACATGCAGCTGATTTTGGTCTTGTTTGTTTGCTTGAATCGTTAAGGCGTTTAAAAAGAAATATTATATGAAAAAAATATGAATGGCAGGCAGAGGCTCAGTGTCGCATTGCAAGTGTATATTTTTTTGAAGAGCTAGACGCCATTTTCACAACCGTACGCTCACTCACACACATCAGAAGTTCAGCTTACTTAGGGTAACAAGCATGCTGTCTAAAAAATAAAAAATGCTGTGTAAAAAATGAAAATTAGAAAAAGCTTTCTTGTAAAGTGAGCACTAAATTTATTTACTAATGACTTCTGGCTAATGTTTCAGTCTCGCAACTAAATCAGTATTTATTTCAGCAAAGCAAATGGGAAAATTATCAAAGAACTTAGTAGCAGGCATTTGTTTCAGCTCTGTTGCTTTTACAGTACTGCCAAGAAACGTTCTCCCTGAGTATTGTCATGGTATTGTTGTTTTCATCAAGCCTCATTCATAAATCAGGTTGAAGCTGGCTGCTCTGAGACATCACAATTTCGAAGGTGGGTTATGCCACACTTTACTGTAAAATTTTGTTGAGAACAGCTGCAGTGGTTCGATGGGTACAAAATTATTTTATTAACATGCGGCTACAATTTTGTACCTAGCTACAGTGATGTCATTGCAATGGGGGAAAACTGCAAAAACTGACTGTGTACTCTTATAGATTTAGGTGGGAAAAAATTCTAAGGTATTTATAAATAAAACTCGGAGCTCTCTTCTTCATGGCATTTTTCATAGTCACAGTGCTACTTTCGCAAATTGAGCACTAGTACATTTTGTTAACCACGCAACTTTTTTTCAGGGAAGTCAGAAAAAGCTGCGGATCGATATTCAATGCTACTGAAAACGTGCGAGCCAAGCATCATAGCACGGCATGTTGCCTGGAATTAACAATTAATTCTCAAAGCCAGCCAGAAATCGCACGCTCTTATCTTGACAAATTATGCTGCACACCTGAACGACGACGGCATATACTCCAAAGTTCACAGTAATTGGCTGATTTTAGCATCGTGTGCTGTGTAGTTCTCGCAGCTGCCACAGGATGTGACAACGTGCCCGCGCTTGCACTAGTTATCACACTGAAAGAGTAAGCTGCATGTAAAAAAAAAATACAGTTCTCAAGGTCAACACATGCTGATGAACGGGCATAGCTTCTTGCCCCTTATCCTTTTCCCCCTGCATATCCTTCAGCACGCTAACTTATATGAAAGGAGAGAGAAAACTCTTAAAGCAGGCGACAAATCCCTGTAACTCCTCTCGTACCTGAAGGATGCTGAAGATTTTCTGCGGCAGTGGATTCGTGAGGCCACAAACTTCTGTAGAGGGACGCTAGAGAGAAAAAATATTTTTTGCATATAAGTATAGTACGGTTCCTTAATCCCCAAAATGTCACTCTTATCACGAGACAATGCCTGGTAAGCGAGCAAACACGCAAAAATAAATGCAGGAGGTTAGGCCACCTTGAGATTCCCGTACCAAACACTGTGGCGTCATGGATTTCGGCAGTGTCTACTAGGTCCTACGTAGTTGCTTATTGGTAAGAATGAAGTATATTGTTATTTGTGGGGGCCATAGACCTAACATATGTATTTCACAAAATTTCATCGAGCCAATGTCGTAAAAATACAACAAATACATTTTGAAATCAGTGACATGCGTGCGGAAATGTCAGCACCAAATAAAAATAAAACTTTTAACGTAAATTTTCTTTTCTAATAATGAACTTATGATGGTAAGGCTTACAACATCAGAGTTCTCAGAGTGCAGTTTATTATTCTAAACCAAGTAATTGTTTTACTTTAGTGTTCCTCTCATGAAACCACTCGATGGTGTCTTGGGAAAGTGTTGCAATGCACATTTAATATCTGCCACAGTCTGAACAGAAATCAATTCTTTATGCAGTAAAGCAAGAAATGTTACTCCTGTCATGACGTGCCTAAATCCTGCACAACAGCTCTGGTGAACGGGTTGTATCGAACACACAGTCAAGAAGTTACACAATAAAGAATTACACAGTAAAGAACACAGTAAAGAATTTTAATGGTGTGATGTCGAGCATTTTATGTCATAATTCCATGTTACTATAATCGCTGAGTCGTCTAGTGCATCCGGCCGTGATACAGCAAATAGCACCTTTGACATATAGACAAGGTACTAGGTACAATACACAATGTTCAAAACATGGCTGTCATAAAAGTGTTTCCGGGATCATCAATTCCTCGAAGAAGCTTCAATTTCTCCATTTTTCGATTCCGTTTCTCTGAGGACTTGTATTTGATCTGCTGTGCTTATTTAATCCTGTTATGCCTTTTCATAATCTATGAAAGTTATGCATAAGGGTTGGTTGTATTTCGCATATTTCTCCTTCAAAAATGTTTTTCTCCTTTAAAACAAAAGTGGCTTCGATTAAACTTTCTGTGAACAAAGTCGATATGATTGTCAATCGTATGCGCTTTTCTCCTGATATTTTTCTTGGACCACCGTAGGTACTGCAGACTTTTCAACGTAGACCAAAGTGGCATTTCTGCCAAGTTCAGGATTTTATTTTAGAGTCTATGTGCCACACACCGGCAAAACAAAAATTTGTCAATAGTATATTTAATGGAGAGTTTGATGGAAGTAATTTGTGCATTCTATAGATGGTCGTGTTTTATAGAAAATTTTTCGAAAACACTACAGTTTGCTCAGTTTGTGTATGCTCTAAAGAGTGAAAGTTTTGAAGTTATCATGAGGAACTGCAACATAATAAGAGCACGTTGCTCTAAAAATGACAAACAAGCAAATATTGAAAGAATGCACGAAACTGTTCATATATAGGGAATTTTTTTTCGCACCTAGTTTTCCACCATTTCGCGAATTTTAAATGATGGTCGCAGGCACAAATATTTTTTGCTCCTCGATATATCTTAGAAAAATACTTAATGAAACACCATTAATGTGTAATTTTCTCTAACCATTGATGGAAATTTATTTATGGCGAGTGCCCCGGTTGGGACAGTTAGTGTGAAATGACCCATATATAACAGCTGCATCTTGCTGATACTTACCTACGGAGCAGAAACCTGGAGGCTTACAAAAAGGGTTCAGCTTAAATTGAGGACGACGCAGCGAGCGATGAAAATGAAAATCATAGGTGCAACCTTAAGAGACAAGAAGAGAGCAGAGTGGGTCAGGGAACAAACTGGGGTTGAGCATATCATAGTTGAAATCAAAAAGAAATGGACATGGGCCGCACACGTAGCACGTAGGCAGGATAACAGCTGGTCATTAAAGGTTAACTTACTAGATTCTCAGGGAAGGCAAACAGCACGAAGGGGAGACAGAAATATAGGTGGCCTGATGAGATTAAAAAGTTTGCAGGTATAACGTGGCAGCAGAAAGCATGAGACTTGGTTGATTGGCAGATCATGGAAAGTTCTTTACCCTGTAGTGGGCGTGGTCAGGTTGATGATAATTTTACATGTGCATTTTTTCTTTCTCTCTCTCTCACACTGCGCAGATATCCTAGAGGAGCTAAGCTCCGAAAGCCAGTTTATTTGCACGACCTTCAGGCCAGAGCTCGCTTTGAAAGGCAAAGTTTTCAAGGTCACCCATCATGAAGGGGTGAGTAGTCCTTTGTTCGGTATTTTTTACATGTTGCCATTGGGATGTCTTGCTGTCAATGACAAACGAAACTTTGTGTTTTATTTCAATACAAAATTCTTTTTCTCTTTGACAATGCAAGTTAAATGTGACTTATTGCGATAAAGAACAACCTTGTGTACTGTGAAATGTGTGCCATTAATTCATAAAGACAGAATACATGGTTGAAAATCAAACATGTAATTGAAAAAAAAATATCAATGCACTTCTTAACATACATTATTCGATTACTTATAAAGCTATGTGCAAATACTATGTCGATGTAAAAAAAAAATCTAGAGAGAAACTTAAGCTTCGCTTTCAAGAGCGGCATGTGATATCGTAATTGGGCCCCTTTCACGTCACGTTCTCATCTTTTTGGCACACTTTGCTTCTTTGTGGGCATCTAAACCTGTTACAAGCTGCCACTCTAGCGTCGCCAGCGCGAAGTCGGCGACGGGAATGACAGCAGGTTGGTTCGTTCCGTACGCAAGCAGAGACAGTGAAGAGATCAGAGACGTGAGAAAACAAAACAAACTTTACTCTAGTGATAGGGCAGCACACGGGATCTAATACAACACTTCAATACAACTAACAAAATACATCAACACTTGATACAACAAAAAAACATATAACAGAAACAATAAATTAGCTTACGAGAGAGAACTATTACAAACTACACCAACTAACAAGAATAGAACGACGGAGGAGAAAGTTCGAAAATATAAACAGGTGAAGGCATACGTGTGATGACCGGCAGCGTTGTGTCCCCGACGATCGGATGCGAGAAGACGAAGAGAGTTCTGGCACGACTGCGATGTCGGTGGTGTTGCAACGCTGGTGGCTCCGGGAGGCTAGTGCTTGCAGGTGACTTCGAGCAGGTTGAGCTAACTCGAGGCGAAGTCCCGATGTCTACGTTGCAGACGTTAATATCGCGTCACTAGACGAACGGCTAAGTTTAGGTGGCCAGCCGATACAGAGCCACACTAAAAACTTCTAGAAGAGATGCTTGTTGATCTGTTTCTACACCATCTTGGTCAGCGACTAGTCTGCCTAGCAGGGCAAAATCCTGCGCTTAAATCCCCCTCGTGTCTCCTCGCTCTCTTCCTTGGGGACAAGAGACCTCTACATGGGTCCAATCATGCGCGTTTAATTGATGGAAACTCCGCCCCAAAAATATTTTGACCCCACCCCTTTTTAATTGGGAGAGGGCCCGCAACTAGCGAGAGTGACAACCTGTCGGGTTGTTGTCATACCTCTTGGCCACCAGAGCGTTTCCCACGCTTTTCCCCGTGGGAACGGTCAAACGTTTGGCTCTCAGTCAGCGTGTCTCGTAGTCTAATCCTTGTTCGGGGTATACCGCGGCCTTCTACGACCTTGCAGACGCCGCCACAGTTACAAAAGGATTAACCGTCGGCGGCGACGTTCTAAGAAGAGCACCCCATTTTGCACTTCTCGGCTCCCTTTCATGCGCCGCCGTTTCTCACGGTCAGTCGGGGAGTACGGCGCCCGTTAATTGCCGTGACGCGGTGTCGCCAAAAATGGCCGTCCATGACAAGACCATACCACAAGAAAAAGAACGTCTGTGCACTTAAGTAGTCCACTGTAACATGAGGGCATCTTCCAGCAACCTTCAGTTACATCAACTAATAAATACAAAGAGCTAGGTTATATTTTATTGCATGGTTAATAATACTACTACACCATTTCCTCAACGTGAGTGCCCATGAGGGAATTGCTGTGGTTTCTTCAAGACAGACTGATTGACAAGTTATTACTAGTTCTTATCTCATACAATGTTGCTGTGTTGCTTTTAGACAATACTATTTTCATGATTTTGTAGTGTAGTTACAGTCTCTGTTCTCATCTTTCATTCTTTTGCGCACCCTTCTTTAGTGCAAGGTGACCAACTAGAGTCCTTCCCAGTTCAGTTTCCTGTCTTTTCTCTATCTATCTCTCTCTCCCGGTAAACTTTGTAATATCATCGTACCACTGACGCTAGCTTAGACTCTTTCCATTTCTTTAGCACCATTTCTCCTTCATTAATGTAATGGAAGTAAAGAAGAATGATTATTACAATGAATTCAGTTTCACTACATAAAACAAAATGAGCAATCACTTAGTCGCTTGTTAATACTATTGTATTAATCTCTGTTAGGTTGAATGTTAGATGCAACCCAGCAATCTGATTATGTGAAAGGACCCGTGGATATGAGAGTACCGCACATTATGGCCATTTCTAAATTAAAAACTATAAAATTAGAATAAGCCTGGGGTGAAATGTAAAAATTTTCATGTGTTAAGAGTTAAACACAAGTCAAAGAGTCCTGTGTGTTCAAAATGAATCTGATATTCCCCAACCCGAGTGTCAAACATTATAACGTGGTGTTGGTATGTGAAACCCTGAAATTTAATTCAGTTATTTGCCTGTGTGTGTGTTTCAGACAAGTAGCGTCAGAGAAACAACCCAAGAGGAGGTACTACGTATCGTCCAGGCTGCACAAGAACTTTGAAGGTTGCCCCAAAGCATGAACTAGAAAGTTGCTACTAGTCATTGTTGCTACTCTCTCTTTAACTGTCTACATTTTGACAAAAACTTCATGTCTTGCTGTTTATGTATGTGGTCTTTATTTAAGGCAATGTACCTACATATTTACTTACTCTTCTGACTTACTCGTCTTCCAATGTGATAGTCCATGTTGTCACAATTATGACATAGCAAATGCTCTGTATGCTAGGAGCCTCTACTCTCTTTTTAACTGTGTTTGGACAAAAGCTTCATGGCTTGCTGTTTATGTATGTGGTCTCCATATAAGAAAACCTACCTCCATATTTACTTAGCTCTTCTTCCTGCGTGATTGTCCATGTTGTTACATTTATGACATAGCCAATGCTCTGTATGTTACATACCTCAATATTTATTTACTCGTCTTACTTTGTGATCGTCTATATTGTTACATTTATGACAGAGCAAATGCTCTGTATGTGAAGAGCCTCTACTCTCTTTTTAACTGTGTTTTGACAAAAGATTCATGTCTGGCTGTTTGTTTGTGGTCTCTATATAAGGAAACGTACCTTTATATTTACTTAGCTCTTCTTCCTGCGTGATTGTCCATGTTGTTACATTTATGACATAGCAAATGCTCTGTATGTTATGTACCTCAATATTTATTTACTCATCTTCCTTTGTGATCGTCTATATTGTTACATTTATGACAGAGCAAATTCTCTGTATGTGAAGAGCCTCTACTCTCTCTTTAACTGTGTTTTGACAAAAGATTCATGTCTGGCTGTTTATGTTTGTGGTCTCCATATAAGGAAACGTACCTCTATATTTACTTAGCCCTTCTTCCTGCGTGATCGTTTATGTTGTTACATTTATGACATAGCAAATGCTCTGTATGTTATGTACCTCAATATTTATTTACTCGTCTTCCTTTGTGATCGTCTATATTGTTACATTTATGACAGAGCAAATGCTCTGTATGTGAAGAGCCTCTACTCTCTTTTTAACTGTGTTTTGACAAAAGATTCATGTCTGGCTGTTTGTTTGTGGTCTCTATATAAGGAAACGTACCTCTATATTTACTTAGCTCTTCTTCCTGTGTGATTGTCCATGTTGTTACATTTATGACATAGCAAATGCTCTGTATGTTATGTACCTCAATATTTATTTACTCATCTTCCTTTGTGATCGTCTATATTGTTACATTTATGACAGAGCAAATTCTCTGTATGTGAAGAGCCTCTACTCTCTTTTTAACTGTGTTTTGACAAAAGATTCATGTCTGGCTGTTTGTTTGTGGTCTCTATATAAGGAAACGTACCTCTATATTTACTTAGCTCTTCTTCCTGCGTGATTGTCCATGTTGTTACATTTATGACATAGCAAATGCTCTGTATGTTATGTACCTCAATATTTATTTACTCATCTTCCTTTGTGATCGTCTATATTGTTACATTTATGACAGAGCAAATGCTCTGTATGGAAAGAGCCTCTACTCTCTTTTTAACTGTGTTTGGACAAAAGCTTCATGGCTTGCTGTTTATGTATGTGGTCTCCATATAAGAAAACCTACCTCCATATTTACTTAGCCCTTCTTCCTGCGTGATCGTTTATGTTGTTACATTCATGACATAGCAAATGCTCTGTATGTTAAGACCTCTACTCTCTTTAACTGTGTTTTGACAAAAGATTCATGTCTTTCTATTTATGTATGTGGTCTCCATATAAGGAAACGTACCTCTATATTTACTTAGCTCTTCTTGTGTGATCCTCCATGTTGTTACATTCATGACATAGCAAATGCTCTGTATGTTAAGACCCTCTACTCTTTTTAACTGTGTTTTGACAAAAGATCCATGTCTTTCTGTTTATGTACGTGGTCTTTATATAACAAAACGTACCTCCATATCTACTTAGCTCTTCTTCTTGTGTGATCGTCCATGTTATTACATTTATGCTCTTTTTAACTATGTTTTGACAAAAGCTTCATGTCTTGCTATTTATGTATGTGGTCTCCATATAAGAAAATGTACCTTTACATTTACTTAACTCTTCTTCCTGTGTGATCGTCCATATTGTTACATTTGTGACATAGCAAATTCTCTGTATGTTAATGACAAAAGCTTCATGGCTTGCATGTTATCCTTCATGACTGTATGTGTTCTGCCGCCAGTGATATAGATTATGAACTGTATTTTATAGAACATATCTACATGTTAACTAATTATTTGTTTCAGCATTTATGTTGTGACAGTTATGACATCGTAAATTCTCTCTATGTTAAGAAGCACACATCAATATATCAACTTATTCTTTAACAGTCTTTCAGGCACCCTTCCAGAATGTTTAACTCTAGTGTACTGTTGAACTTCGTATTTTACATATGTTTATTGCCATGTTATGTACAACTGCTAGAACTGCAGGACCTTTCCATGCTTTTAAGTATATTTTATGTTGTTTGTTGCTTATTCATATTGTTACATATTTTTTGCAATATTTTCGAAGAAATATATCTTTAGTTTATTGTTAGTACTTTGGTTCTGACGACTATCCTATGGGTATGATTCTTAATAAAAGCATTTTGTCCAGTGATTTTTTTTAACATGAGATGTGTATTATTCAGGCTTGGCAGCAGTGGAAATAAACTAATAAAATTATAGTAAAAAATTACTTTTTGCTGTAATGAACAAAGTAGTGAAACATTTTTTATTAGTTGTTGGTTTTGTAATGTAATTAATTACATTGCAATTTCAATTACAATTTCAAGCAAGCAATTTCAAGGAAATTACTGATTACTATCTCTATTACATTTGATTAAAACAGAGCATGTTCGTTTACTTCTGGCATAAAAAAGTGCCAAAAAAATAACAAAGACAAGTTATTATGAATGTTAAAACTCATGAGTGTGAACAATGCAAAGAAAATAGCAAAGATTTCGAGGTACATATATCAGTTCTAAATAATGTCTAAATGAGATAGTGCACGGATGACAAACTTTTCTTCAAGTAATTTCAATATCAAATAACTTCAAAATCATAAAAAGTTTTTCATAGACTATATATCAAAGTAATATTTTGAAAATATTTTCTGAGGTAATATTAACATCATTACTTTCAATCAGCAGTGATATTTTATGCAATTTAACTACATTGAAAGAAATTACTGACAAGTAATCAGTAGTCACAAGTGTAATTTCAAAAGATTTTAGAAGTAACATAGCGACCTTTGGCTAGTATTTTTAATACTGAACTGACCATAACTTACAGTTGTTCATTATTTTGTGCGATGTATTGATTTATTTCATGGGAAAATATGAAATGCTTCAATTTTCAACTGTGGCATGGGAGTACAAAACACAACCCCAGCAGTGAATTTTTGAGGGCTCACGCCTATTTAGCACAGCCTAGACAAGATTACGGCGGCGCTCAGGGAGCGTTCCGTGAAAAGGTCAATATCAGTATGTAAAATTTTGCTTTGACTTTAATATTAATTACAGTAAACTTATATATTAATTACAGTAAACTGTATATTCATCTATGCCAAAGCTCTCAAACAGACTCGCAAACCTTTTGCTAGCAGCCCCACCTGGGCATGACTGTCTTTGTCCCACATTTTTTTTCTTAATTACAGTGAGCTGCGCACCGGCGACTTGTGTTGAATATTTTTTTTCATAGGCACTCTATCCAGAGACCATGTGTTAAAACCATGCTCACAGTCAGTGGGGGTGCCATGCCGTGTAGGTGCCCAGGTCAGATGGAGTGGGGGTTTTTTACAGAGGACAAATAATAAAAATAAGTTATTTCAAGACCTTTATCGAGTGCCCCCCCCCCCACCCCTTGAAAAGAATTTCTGGCTACGAGCCTGGTTAAAAGATAACTGTGAAAAAAAAATATGTTCCAGGATTAGCACCCAAAGTAAGTCATTGTGGAGGTTATCATCAATATGTTTCTTGGAACACAACTTTGAGTCCCTTTCAGAAATGACTGATATATATTAGGTTTAGAAAAAGGTTTCTTTCAAATGGCAACATGTTAGATGACGTTTTGCCTAAACTCTCTCCTCCCTTCCTTTCTCCTTATCTTTTAGAGAGAATAATTTTGTTAGTGCTGCTGCCAGCTGAGGTGAATTTGATACACTTGATCTATACATATCAGCCACTTGGCTCACAATATAACTTCTTGTTATTATATTTTGGTGCTGCAAACAGATGCACGCACTTACCTGTCAAGATTGGTGCTGCAATGGTTGAATAAGAAAGCGCTGATGCTGCTGGTGCTCACTCCACTGGACACGTGATCGGCGCTCCGTGGTGATCAGGAGATCCGCGCTTGAAAGTCGCAAATTAAGGACGCGTAGTGCCCACCAGTAGGTAAGCTTAATCCCGAGCGCAAATCTTGTACGGTATGTCTGTATCGAAAAAAGATTGCATACGAAACTTTGCGCAGCAGTATATAAGTATATATACACAATCACAGCAGTATGCGTAGAGCACCTCAAATATACCGTTTTCCCCTCTTGTGCACGCTAACTCCGATTAAGCTGTTCTGCCCCTAACGTTCATCTTTTCTTTAGACATAAGATTACCGTTGTCTCCAGTTGCCTCGGTTGCCTGCGCGCGGTTGTTGGAGGGGGCCGCATGGCCAGTTTACGCAGATAACTCGCACCACAGATCGCCAATCGATTTTAGGAAATGTCAAGTCGTGCCCTTTAACGTGGTTACTGTCTGAATACCCAGAGTGCCGGCAACCTACAACATTGCGGGAGAAGCAACGTGCCGTAGGGCGCGGCCACATCGACATGTCTCGCTATTCTCGCGCCGCCGCGGTAATGTGGACAGCGTGCCGCTGCTTGAAGCACGGAGGCGCCGATGGGCGGCATGCTGCCGCGGCAAGCTTTCCGCAAGTGAGCACGATTCACACCGAAGGCGAAACAGCAAAGCAGAAAGCGGGAAAAACCTCCTTTCCAGTGAGCAAAAGTAGGCATAAAACGAGGCGGAAAGTGTGATCGCTCCCAGAGCAATTTTTTGCCGTTCGTTGAAGCTCGCTCTTTCGCCGCGCCAATCAGAACGCAATGCTGCGGTGGCGCTGGTGTACCTTGAGGAATATTTGGGAAAAGCGTTGCCCTGTGATAGCGACGCGTGAGCAAAAACGTGAAATGCCTAGGAATGACTATGACGGCAAACAGTAAACCGTTTTTGACGTAAGCCGGTGGGTGCGCACCTGGGCACTCTCTACTCTCGCATTACGCATTGGGTATGAAACCCATCATGAGAGAAATCAGTCGCTTAGGACCAACGTGGTTCTAGTAACGTTGCTTAGGACCACTACACCTGAAAGTAAAGTCATTCCCTTCTCTCTGGTGCCAACTTTCTAGAAAACCACCTTCTTCAAAAAAGAACGCACATGTCGTAAATTTTATTTAGTGCACACGTGCACTAAATTCACAAATCGACAAAAAGAAGTTCGTTAATTTCTGTGCACTCCAAAAAGGCTTAAGTCATTCCCGCGCACTTTATGACTGCGTACTCGCCTGTAATCATCCATTCTGGTGATAGCTCCGCCACCTCGTGGACAACCGATTTATCCACACCCACCACAGTGTTCGACTTGATGGTGCAGAGTGCGCACAAGAATGTTGGCTCAAAGCCCCTGATTGCCTGCTTGAAAGGAACTGACGGGTCCCACTCGAGGTCTCCCACCAGCTTGTGGTAGTTGGCGTCCCCTTTAATAAACACCAAGTCCGCCGACTGCAGCGTCTTGTAGAGCTCGGGTCTCTGTGTCGCCATCTGGGCTTACAATCGAATGGCTGCGTCCAGAAGATGTCGTCCTGCATGGACCAAGTACCGCCATCCAGTCGGCACTGGCATCACTCTGCGAGTGCCCGCATTGACTCATGTTCGCTCTTTTGCATCTTGCGCAGAGTCCACGACATGTCCCGGCGCATCACGTCTGACACGTAGTAGGGTATGGCCTTAGCGTGTATTGTCACGCCGGTCACGTAGCCCATTATGTGCAGGAAGTCGAAGAGGACAAAGTCCGAGCATAGCTCGTAGCCCGAGCTGTCCACCACGCAGTGCAACCGTGTCGGCTTTTTGCCACCGAGATTTCGTTCGCGAAGCTTCCACAGGTGCTCCATCAGCTTGTCGGTGTGGTTGGAAATGATGAAGGACCGAAGCGTGTCAGTCTTTTGCAGAGCGTCGGCTTGACTAGATGCGTCGACACCGCAGGACAGAGACAGATCACATCGGTTGCCCCACAGGGAAATTTCAACCAATCTATGCACGAGGTATACCGCTTCGTCAAACGCCGAGTACATGGTGGAACATCATAGCACAAGTGCACTTTAGTGCACTTGTGCTATGATGACGGTGAAGACGCGTATAATACTATTTGGGATTTTACATCCAAAACCAAGATATGAGGGACACTCTAGTGGAGGGCTCTGGAAATTTTGACCATCTTGTGTTCTCAAACATGCACTATATATCACAAAGTACACAACTCTATAATTTCACCTCCATCGAATGTGACTGCCGATGCCGGGATTGAACCCGTGACCTTCGGGTCAGCGGTAGAGCACAGTAATCATTGATCAACCACAATGAACGAGAGTCGCGCAGGACACAGCGCTGTGCTCACTGCCTCGCTGTTGTGCCACAATGTTTATAAACCAAATAGTCCGCGACCCAAGATGAAAAGCTGCATGTAAACAAGAAAAACGTCATCCATTTTCATTACCTGTACAGCAACATGCATAGTCCGCATGTTTTCTTTAGTGTTGTGTCGCAGATGAACACGCTTTTACAAATAAGGTGACGGTACATCATCACATGCTGACTTCACCGGGTCACTTCATTACATGTATACTCTTCGCCAGTTGATACTCCCCTTTTGGCCTGGCAGAATATACAGTTGGCTATTCATGAACACTGCACGAATAAGTGCTAAAAGTTACGAGCACACAAGAAAGAGTAGAGAAAAAAAAATCACAGCATATCCACAGAGTGAATGATGATGAGCGGGGCGAATTGTTTGTCCCTCCACCCCTCCGTGCTTCTCTCTATCCGTTCATTCGAGCTTCTGTCCGTCCGTGCATCCATCCATCTCTACTTTCATCCGTCCTTCCATATGAATGGACACACAGACGAACGCTTCGCCCCGCTCATCATCATTCAATTCATGAATATGCTGTGAAAACTACAAATGCAATCTATTGAGCCACTCATAATCTAGAGGTGGCTACATACTACATACGGCTTAAGGAGCTTTACCCCTAAAACTGACGAAGTACATGTGAATGGCAGTGCAGACATAGGACAGCGCCTGTCATGTGTCACCTTTTCCTTTTACATATGTGCTTCTTTCAGCGTTTTGGCCTGGCCTCACATTCTTAAGTGCGCTACGGCCTTTCGCCCACAAAAGGCGGCGACACACAGTCTCACCTATTTGTATCATATCTGTTGTTTCTTTGATTATTCGCCTAAATAAATGTTAGTCATATTTTGAGCCCGCAATATCAAAAATACATGGCAATGGCCATAGTTGAAGGTAGAAGACATGCATTGCGTGCGTCCACATATACTTTGCAAATTTTCTTAACTACATTTGTGTATATATGGCGATGCTACGTTCAAATTAAACGTGTTTGTACAGTACTGGTACACAGATTTCTTAACTGCTCTCACTCGCGGTCAAACAGGGCAAATAGCAGTTCAGTTAAACGAATCAAGACATTCCGGCATTTTTAAGCTGCCAATAACAGCTGCATCTTGCCGGTACTTATCTACAGAGAAGAAACCTGGAGGCTTACAAAGAGGGTTCTGGACGACGCAATGAGCGATGGAAAGGAAAATAATATGTGAGACAAGAAGAGAGCAGAGTGAGTCTGGGAACAAACCAGGGTTAAGGATATCATAGCTAAAATTAAGAAGAAGAAATTAACATGGGCCGGGCATGTAGCACGCAGAAAAAGCACGAAGGGGAGACGGAAAGTTAGGTGGGCTGTTTGCAGGTATAACGTGGGCGCAGAAAGCTCGTAGCCCGACATCTAAGAATCCCAGGTGGTCGAAATGTCCAGAGTATGCCTCCACTACCGCGTCTCTGTCTCGGGACGTTAAACCCGGGCCCAACAATTCATAGAGCTTCCTCATTTTAGGAAACTGTATGCAACAATTATTATCATTTGTCTCCCCCCACCTCCATATGATCACATTTTTCACGCAGTTCTTCACAGGGAACAGCGTTGTTGTTGGCGGGCAACATGTTCAAACACACGAGCACGCTCAATTGCCGCCTACCTGCGAGTGGCCTGCTTGAGTGCCGTCGGCGCAAGATCCCGCTGTTCGCTTGCAGCCGCAGAATCGATGAGAATGCTTACTGCATTGATCGAGCCTTCCAGCGCCTCATGCTTGAACTTGGCAAAGTAATCGTAATCCTTCAGCTTCGGCGATGCGTAGAACGCCCCAAAGATGCACCGGTAGAAGTAAGTCTCAAAGTACAACCAGGGCACGTCGTACCAGTGCGGCGGGTCGCCCTTGCCTTCGGCCGTGTACTCGTCGAGCACCGCGTTCCACACTGTCGCATTTTCAAAGTCGTCCTCGAGGGCAACCAGCGCCTTGTTGGCTGCGATCTCGTCGCGCAACTTGGTCAGACGTTCTGCGACGAGGTTCATATCTTCGCACGCGTCGGGTTCCATCGTGGCCACATCGTTAGAAGCGGTGTCCATGGTTCTGGTCAAGATGACGGCCAGTCTTTCGCGCACTGTCTTGTAGGCGAAACCGGCGGGGTCCTTGGCGGTGAGCGGAGGTGGCTGCGACGTCGTCGCCGTGTCTGACTTTCGCTGCTGATCGAATGGGCTCACGTGCGGTGGGGCACCCGATACGCTAGACGCCGCCATGTGGTCGCCCGTGGGCTTGTAACTAACTGGATCGCTACTGGAGGCCGGCGTTTCACTCAAGTTTTGCGCGCTGCTGCGCTGATTGCGGTACGGGCAGCCGGAGGCGCCAAGGCTCGAGCCACTCATTTTTAGCACATTAGAAGTGCTAAATATAGCCAGCGTCATTGGCTGCACACAAAAGGTCTCAGAAATGTCCTTGGTGTAGAACAACGGGCAGGGCCTTTGGCATGAACCGAAGAGCACTACCAGGCATGACCTTTTGATTAGCGAAGTGGCAATTATTCTGGCGACCCGTGCAAACATTCTACCTCTTTTCTCGCAGCCGGCGCGCTGTTCGAACGTGTAGTAGTAGGTGTTCTGTGGTAGTACGTACTGCGTGGGGCTGCTTTCCGTCCCCACGAAGTAGGAGCAGCCCGCAGCGTTGCTCTAAAGGAGTAGCGTTTATCAGGACCCCAGTTAGAGTGTACTAGACTAGTACACTCTAACACTGTGCCCCCTTTCTTATGTTATTCTTAAAAGAGAAAAGAAGATAAAAGTGAGCCCCGTAACTGTCTGCATCAGTGTGCGACACCTCAACAGTAGCTCATGAGGGATGGGGTTAAGGAGCGATTAAAAGGATATTATTAAAGGTATAGAGATAGAGGGTGGAAGGAGAGAGCGTGGCGCAGGGACAGTGACACCTACCGGAAGATGGACACGGTCGCAGGAGTCCGAGGACGGGGCACCACTCAGCGAGAGCTCTTGTCGGCGGCAGGAGATGGCGTAGGGCGAGCCAGTCGGCCAGAGCTGCGCTGTTGTCGGAGATCGCGGGGGCACAATCTGGTCGGAACGAAATCCAGAGAGCGAGTCCACTGTACCCCAGTAAAGTTCTGTGTCATTTTGTAGCATATGATATTAGCAGAGTCCTTCAATACTTGAAGGACTCTGGTATTGGTTATTCTACAATTTAGTCGCGGGGTATGCTCATGGCAGACCATGATTCGTCATACTTGTAGCACAGAACACCTATACACTACCATCGTAGTGTAGTGTATGCCGGTTGGTGCTGGATTTATTACTCAATATGGTATGGACTTGAGATTTTTTATGTCCTTGCTTGCTTGCTCCTATATGCTGCGGCTCGTACCCACTATGCGGGATTGGCCATTAAACTGGCTGTTATTATAATGAGGAAAGCGAATCGTTAAAATTTAAAGAAGAAAAATATTCAGTCATCTAGGGAATATAAGAGTGGATGATCATACGGTGGCTTACAAATAAAGTAAGTAAATAACTAATAATTGAAAGGAGTACAGCACTCTGAAAAGCGGTTCCAAAAACACAGCACGGTTTAATAATGCATTTCCGCCATTGTTCCAACTATTTCTTCTCTCTCCTCAGCAGACTACACACTACTAGCTTCCCCACTTCTAGATCTCTGCTTGGCTGCGCTCGGTTCTCGAACATGCAAGTGGCTGGTCGTGCTTGCTCTAGGGTTTTGGCTTAAGTTTGTGTAGTGGCTGTGGTTTCTTTGTCTGTATTAGGTGTTTCTATAGTGCTTTTATAGCTAAGTAAGCGCTTTTAGCGCTAGAAAGAGCACTCAGATACCGTTTTCTTCACTTGGACCAGGGGCTTTCCTCTGGTCTGCTTCACTTCCGCCCCAGGAGATACCAGTGGATCAGTTTCTGCGCAACAGCATTCCCGCAGTTCCTGTGGTCCTCGTCTCTAGCAATGACGACTTCATACGGATGAAGAATCCGAAAGTGGTCCGGTCGGAGCTTAGAGCTGCGACGTCTCACTTTCACAGCATCGCAGAGGTCCGCCAGTTCGGCAGAGGTGGTATTCTATGTTTTTCATCTGATCAGCTCTGTGTCCAAGACCTATTGAAGTGCTCGAGTTTCGCGACCAATCCGGTGAGCGCCTTTATTCCCCCGCATCTGGCATGTGTGAAAGTATTGTTCGCGGTGTCGATGTTAACTTTACCCCGTCTGAGGTATTAGAGATGTTTTCCGTGACTGGTGCTATCTCCGTTTATAGGTGTGCACGACTGGTAGAGAAGCACAAGATGCCAACTGAGTCGGTAATTGTAACCTTTGCTGGAGCGAATCTCCCAAGCGAAATCAAGACATGGCCACTAATATACAGAGTGGAACCGCTATCACCGCGACCACTCCAGTGTACGAAGTGCTGGCGATACGGTCACACTATTAAAGGATGCAGGTCAGAACTCAGATGCCGAATGTGTGGTGACAACCACAAAACAAGTGACTGCAAAGCTGAAGAAGAGAAATGTTGTCTCTGCAATGAACAACACTGTGTAGATAGTCCTGATTGCTCAGCTAAGGCTCGAGAAATGCAAATTCTTGAAATTATAAGGCATAAGCGCTGTCCTCGACGAGAAGCCTTAGAGGAAATACAGGCTAGAACTCAGGGGTATGTCAGTGTTGCAGCACGACATATCTCGAAAATAAATGGAAATACAGGCTAGAACTCAGGGGTATGTCAGTGTTGCAGCACGACATATCTCGAAAATAAATGGGTCGATTTCCCTGAATATCGCGGAGGTCGTAGAAAAGGCTCTAGAAAAAGCCATGGAACGACTGGCTTCTAACCTTTGCGATTCTCTATCTCAAATTTTGGCTAATCAGGTGACTCGCATATTTGGTACAACAGGAGAGTCAGGCCTAGCATCCCAACATGTTGAGAGTTCACGACCAATGACTGACGGTGAATCTGAAACTGCGCCATCGTATTATCCGTCTGCAGGAGCCTCTGCAATAGGCGTCCACAGCCAAAAGGAGGAATTTGAAACCGCACCATCGTATTCTCCATCTGCAGCACCCTCTGCAGTAGATATACAGAGTCTAAGTGAGGATAAAGTTGCATATACAATAGATTCAGATGACATGGATTTAGACCCTAGGTCCCTGAAGCGATCTAGATCCCCTGTGTCAAGGAAAACTAACTCACTGAAACAAACAAAGAACAAAAAGTATCAGAAGAAAAAGGAGAGCCTTTCAAAGAGAGATTTCTTGAAAGAAAGCATTCTAGAGAAAGCTATAGAGGAAGCAGCTCTTTCGAAACCGTAGGGTCGCTTAAAATTCTCCATTGTAATCGCCGATCAATTTATTCTGCATCTACGGATTCGGTATACTTGACTTCTAAATTTGCTCCTGATATTATAGCATTACAAGAGACATGGGTAGCTGTACGTAATTTGTTCCAGTTAAATAACTTCCGGTCTTTTCGACTAGACCGTCCATCGACAGGTGGGGGTCTAGCTTTCTTTATTAATAATAGAATTAGTATGAAAGTCAAATGCTCATATAAACATATGTCGCCAGAATGCGAAATTTTGGCAGTAGACATTACATTACCCAACTGCACTCCTTTCACTTTAGTTAATATGTATTTTCCGGATAGAGTTCAAGACACACGAAGTTTGGATCTAGCTACAAAGTCGTTGTGCAAAGACAAAGTTTTAGTTGGAGACTTTAATTCTCACCACAAGAGTTGGGGTTTTAGAACTTATCTGAGTGGGAAACGCTTGTGGGAGTGGACAATGGCTAATGATCTGATGTGCCTCAACGTCAGAACCCCCACATTTATTCGTAATCACTCCAGGTCGGCCTTAGATTTAAGTTTTGTCAGTTCGGCCATTACTACCTCTTCTTGGAAAGCGCTGGACTGTGGCACCAACAGTGACCACTTACCGATAAGTTTTGAAATTTCTTGCCCGATTATTCCATCTTGTTCAAATGTAAGAGTATTTGTAAATTACACTAAATTTAAGAATGATCTGAAGTCAGCATTGGCTTTTCACTCGGAAGAGAGCGATGATACAAAAGCACTGAAGATAAACGCAGTCATTAAAAGATCCTACAAAAGAGCTGAATTTACTGTTGAGTCCACAAAAAGGGTATATAGCCGTTGGTGGAATGATGAATGTACCAGAGAGCACCGACGACGTCAGGCGGCTTGGAAGCAGCTCTTACATAATCAATCCCCCCAAAACTGGGCCGATTATAAATTCATTGCAGCAGGCTTTAAGAGAATGGTAGCTCAAACTAAACAAGAATATGACAGAAGACATTATGAATACCTGTCGAAGCCTAAACATATAAAAGCACTGTTCCGATATATGAGAGCTCGGAAAATTTTGCCATCACCAGTTAATGCAGCTTGTGATAATCTATCGGTGCAAGAAATGACCAGTATACCTTAGAGGCAATCGGTAAAGGTCTGGAAAGCAGATTTACTTCAGTAGTGCCAAACAACTGGCACAAGTCTACGACAAAGTCTGACTTTGATGAAGTGACACAGACTGAAGTATCCAACGTGATTAAACATTTACCCTGTGCGTCTCCTGGCCCAGATGGAATCACAGTACCCATGATTAAAATTCTGTTCAATTTATCGCCTAGAGACGTCGCCAATGTTATTAACTACTGCTTAAAAAACTCATGGGTGCCACAGGATTGGAGGATAGCGAAGGTGATTCGATCCTATACTAAAAAATCCGGGTGTAGGATTAACAGTCGATAATATCAGACCAATCTCTCTAACATCTAACATGGTCAAACTAGTAGAGAGGGTCCTACATAGCCAAGTAAGTATCTGGATGGCAGACAATTTAGTAATAAAACCGAACCAAATTGGCTTTCGTAGTGGTTTCTCTATTTGGTGTGCCCATGCTGATTTAGAGAGCCGAATACAGCTCGCGCGAAAAAGAAGGCAATACGCTGCTTTAGTAACGCTTGACATAGCCAAGGCGTATGACAGTGTGGAGCACTTCATATTGTTAAATACGCTAAAGAGATTGAATTTCCCACAATATTTTATTGAGTGGGTGGCAGAATTTTTAAAATCAAGAGAATTCTACTGCATCGAGGATGGATGTTCCTCATCTAGATTTAAACAAACGCGCGGAGTTCCCCAAGGAGCAGTCTTATCTCCAGTGTTATTTAATGCTTTAATGAGCACAATTCCAACAGATCAAGAAGTTACTGTCTACATTTATGCTGATGACATCGCATTCTTTGCTGCTGATTGTGGTATTTACTCACTACAACTTAAATTAAAAAGATATATTAGCATGTTAGAAATTTGGTTGCAGTCGATTTCGTTATCGTTAAATGTCAACAAAA